CCACAAGAATGTCACAAAATTATTCAAAAAGTACACTACAAATTATTTGCATAGCTATTTGTGTAACTATATTCCAAAATCACTAATAACTCACTTTATGATCCTGTCTTACCATCATCCTCGTTTTTTTTTTTTTTTTCAATCCCATTTGGATCTCTTCCAAGCTTTTCTACAATTCCCTTCCTTACCCTAGTACCTTTACCACATAAATTTCCCAATGATTCTTATTCTACTTCCTTACTCTCAGATGACTAATGACCCTCCCCTCCAATTCAACTCTTTTCCTCATTCCTTAATCCCATTTTCCCCACACCATACTCCATTCTTTTGTTCACTTTTTTTTTTTTTTTTTGGCAACACTGGGGTTTGAACTCAGGGACTCACACTTGCTAGCTAGGCAGGCATTCTACCACTTGAGCCACTCCACCAGCCCATGTGTTGGGTATTTTCAAGATATGGTCTCTGGAACTACTTGCCTGGAGTGGCTTCGAACCTCTATCTACCTGATCTCTGCCTCCTGAGTAGCTAAGATTATAGGCGTGAGCCACTGCTGCCCAGCCACATTTTTTTTTTTCCTGGATCTACTAGTTCATATACTCCTCTGCTTATAAACATATTCAAGCCACTTAAGCCTAAAAATTCTTCCCTAAATCCAGTTTCCAATCGAGTGATCATTTTCTCACTAAAAAAACTTCTAAAAGAACAGTTTACACTAATTGTCTTATCAAAACCTCCTATTTATTACTTTAATAGTATTTTAAACTCCTACCACTAAAATCAACAATATCTTTTAAATCACCAAGTTCAACAACTTCTTTGCAGTTCTCATATTACTTCCCCCCAAAATAATTGTGCCCAAGTTTGGTTTGCACTGTATGACCTTCCTAATCCTCCTATTTTTCTGAAAGGATTCTCTCTCATAATCTTCTGGACTCCCTTTCTCTATCCCCTATTCTGGACTTTCAAAGATCTCCCCCGACATTACTCAGCTTGACAATTCAGTTATGCTTATACTTGATGACTCTCAAATCACCATCTCTATCCCTGCCTCCCTCCTGAGCCTCACACCTATTGCGCATTGTTCTCACAGACAACTCCTGACTGCCACAAAAACTAAAAATCAACATTAAAGGAAAAAAAAAAAAACCAGAAAACTGCAAACCTCTCTCTGATCGATCCCATGTATGACATGCAGAGTGTGGCACACAATAACCGCCCTAGCTGGCTTCCAGCAGAGATGGAATAAAGGCAGCATACAAACGCTTGCCAAGTCTTTTTGCTGTTTTAAGCTACTCTCTTAGCCAGTCATTAGTTCTTTTGGTACAAAAGTAAACCACTATTTTCTCATAAAAACCTTCCTTCTTTTTATTCCTGTGCATGTGAACTACTGAAACCTCAGAATAATCTTATTTCTCCCACATTCCTCACTTCGAACTGACATTATCCTAATTCTACCTTTAAAAATGTCTTTCAGGTCTACACAATTTATTTATGCTTCCCAAAACTAAAATGGATAGAAGTCATAAAAACAGACATAATAAAATGATAACTACAAAATCTAGGTGGTGAGTATATGGGTGCTCACAGTTCTTTCAACTTTCCTGTATGCTTCAGCTTTTTATGATAAAATGTTGAGGAAAGGTCTCTACATTCAGACATGTTCAAATGCGTGCTCTTCTTACCGTTCTTCTGAACTACTCTAAGCTCCTTCTGCTATAGCTAATCTTCAAGATAACTCCCAAAGATCCCTGCCTCCTGCTACTCACATCCTTGTGAAGTTGCCTCCCACACTGTGTCAGATTGGTCTCTAAAACAAATAATATATGGTAGAACTGACAGTATGTGAGACTGTGGCTTCTGTTTTGGTACACTATCTTGGATGTCTTGTTCTGGGGAAACATGTAAATCACCTAAGAAGCTTGTTAAAATGCAACTGATTCAGTAGATAAAGGGCAGGACCCAATACTCAGCATTTCCAACAAGTTCCTATGTGATGCAGGTGCTGCAGTTTAGGGACCAAACAACAGTGTACTGGATATTTGCAGGAGATTTACCAGTACTTCAGGATAGCTAAAGGGGTAAGGAATGTTTTACTCTTCATCATTTTACTTTAAAAATAATTTTAATTAAGAAAAAGCTAGATTTCCAATTTTCCCCCGTCCTGTTTAAATGCTTATACAATCAGCCTTTGCCATGGTTCAGAAAAATATCATCTCAGTATCCCAATCTATAGCGCAAAGCTTCTCAAACATTCATGTGGATATGAATCACCTGAGATCTTAGGAAATTACAGCAATCAGTCAGAAAGAGGACAAATTCTGCATTTCTAACAGCTTACAAGTGATACAAAAGCTCCCGGTCCAAGAACTACACCTTTTAAAATTTCCTGTAGGGCTACAGGTGTGGCTCCAGTACTAGAATGCACTCTATCAGCAAGTATAAAGCCCTGAGTTTGATCCCCAGCACCAAAAAAATAAATAAGGTTTCCTGTACATTTTTTTAAATATAACAGATTTGATAATATAAAAATGTAAAACCAGTATATTTAAAGAATGAGTTTAGAAATAATTTTGTAAATCTCATCTGTATTCTTTTCTACTACTGCATAAGAAATTACCATCCTAAGGCTGGTGGAATGGCTCAAGCAGTAAGAGCACCTCCTGGCAAGTGTGAGGACCTCCGTTCAACCCCAATACCACCAAAAAAATTACCACCCTATACTTCTGGGAGGGCTGTGGCAGTACAGGGGCTGAACTCAGGACCTCACACTTGGTAGACAAGTGCTCTACCACTTATGCCACACCTCCAGTCCACAATCCTATGCTTTTAAAGATTCTGATCACCAATCTGAAAGGTAAAGTACAAACTCAAAATGGTTTACAAATGCTCATTACATATATCCAGTTTTCTCTTCAACTACTGTAGCACCATCATCACTCCATGGGCCCACCTACAATACAAATGTGCCATGCCCCACAGCTCCTACACAATGCTACAATCTTAGCTTTTCTAGTCCAGCCGAACCCTTCCTAGCTCTATACCAAAAAACACGTTTTGGATAATATAACAAATTCAACAGAAATCAGCAGTTTAGAGGTCCTCTCCTCTTTGCCTTCAACTGATCTTTAACTGGGGTATTTACAGACCATGGGATTGAAATCAAACAGCCTACTTGTTCCAGATTGAAGGGCAGAAAGTAGGGCTCATTCTTTACAGTTAATCTCTCACTGCAAATGTTTTTTCTCATACAATTTTTGAGATATAAGCACACCATAAAACCCACCCAATTTTAATGTACAATTCAGTGGTTTTTAGGCAAGACACCAGTTGAACCACCTCCCCAGTTCTTTTTTGGTTTCTGGTAGTACTGGGGTTTGAACGCAGGGCCTCACATTTGCTACACAAGTGCTCTACCAATAGAGCCACACCCCTGTGATTTTTAGTATATTAGAACTGTGCAACAATCATTGCTAACTTTAGAACATTTTATAACCTCAAAAAGAAACCCCAAGCAGGGCACTGGGTGGCTCATGCCTGTAATCCTAAGGATGTGGGAGGCTAAAATAGGAAGGATTGCAGTCCAAGGCCAGCTGGGCAAATAGTCTGGGAGACCCCATTTCCAAAATAACCAGACAACAATGGATTGGAGGTGTGGCTCAAGAGATAGAGGGCCCACATTGTGAGCACCTGCTTTGCAAGCACGGAAACTCTGAGTTCAAACCCCAGTCCAACCAAAAAAAGAAAAAAAAAGGAACTCCATAAGCTTCTGTACATCCAGTCCCCCAACTCCTGATAACCACTAATATCTGTCTCTATGAATCTGCCTACTCTGGGTATTTCATATTAGTGGAAGTGTAATGCAATCTTTGTGACCCGTTCACTCACCATGCATGATCTTTTCCAGGTTCAAACGTATTGTAGCATGTATCAATATTTTATTCCTTTCCACGGCTAAGTAATATTCCGTTACATGTTATATTAACAAAATATATGCCATATCACTCACCAGTTGATGAATATTTGGGTTATTTCCACTTTTTTGCTAGTATGAATAATGGAGCTATGAACACACATGTAAAAGTTTTATGTCGACATAATTTTCAGTTCTCTTGGGTATATACCTAAGAGCGGACCTACTGGATCATATACCAATTCGATGCTTAACGTTTTGGGGAACTGTTCAACTAATTTCCAAAGCATTTTACAATCCCATCAGCCACGTGTAAGAATTTTACTATTACAACTTCAACAAATGATGATGTTGTACCTCCTGAACACCACCTTATAACGACAGCCCCTTACTAAATATAATGTATTAACAACAACAAAAAATGTATTTCTGGCGTGTATATAGAGAATAAAATGTTACAGTTCCAAATATTGAGCAAGTGAATTAGCCTCTCGGAGCCGTCTTTATTCGCAAACAAGGATGCCGTAATGACACTTTCCTTTCAGTCGCCATGAAGAGTCATAACACAATCCACGTAAGGACATTTTTCAACACTGATGATTCAGGATTCAATCCCGGGCAAAGCGTTAGGGGCAAAGTGCTAAGTGCTCAGATCCCTCCCCCTCGCTCAGGTTCCTTCTCCCCGGGAGGGGCTTCTGAGTGACGCCAGAGGCTGCAGCCACCCTAGTCACGCAGGACAAATTGTCACAGCTCGGCGGAGCCCTGTCACTCCAGCCCAACGTCTTCCAGGACAGAGATCCCCACCAGCTTGCCACTCAGCTGAGGAGGTCAGCGCAGTAATCTTTTCTCTTTTGTAATGGTTACAGGCGCGCTTATTGCGGCCGAAGCACAAATGGAAGGGCAAAAGGAACACAAGCATATCCCCCATCTATGTTTCCAGTCTCTGTCTCCCCAACCCCCCCCAAGCCAAAAATATGAAACCCGAGTCATTACAACCATAGAGGTACAAGAACCCCACTGTCCCTCACCGCCCACCCGCGCCGCAAGACCTCCCTACCGGATCCCAGGGGACAGACGGTGCAAGGCTCACCTGGTGGCTTCCTCCAGCTCGACCTGGCTCCGACCAGGCGCCTCCAGGAGGATAGTAGCCTTCGCCACCTCCGCCTTCTCCGGGCCAGGTGGTCTCAGCCGGGCCGCCCCCGCGCACCCGCCAGGAAATGGGAGGCTGGGGAGGTTCGGGGCGAAGCGGGGGATATAAGGGCGGAGGTAAGTGCACCGGCACATCTCCACCCCCCGGCCCGTAGTAGCGGCCATAGGAAGGACCGTCACTGGGGCCGTAGCCCGAGCGCCTCAGGGCCGACATGGGCTCCGCTGCCCCGAAGCGCTTCCCGCCCCCCACGGCCGGCCCATTGCGCAGGCGCCTGTGCGCGAGAGGGAATGGGGAGCGCCGAAGTGGGTCGGACGACACCAGCCAATCCCAAACCGGTCCCGCCCCTCCTGCTGCCGGCCCGAGCGTTGAAGGACAGCGGTCCTGACTCCCGGCCCTCAGAAGCAGGAAAGGAAAGAGAGGCACCCTGCTCCTTAAACGGCACCGTCCATCCAAGTTAGATTCCTCCTCCCCACTTATCAAGAATGGGAAACATCGCTCCCGGACCGCACGACGGCCCTCCTCTTCCGGAGGACGGGCACGTGATACCGGAAGTGGGTGGGGTAATATGAAGGCGCTTCCGGCAGACCCCCGGCTATTGAGAGCCGGGGCAGACGCGCTATTTGAGGATTGGGTTCCTATCCCGCGTCCCGCCGAGGCGGCGACGCGCTGGCCCACCGCCGCTGGACGTTGCAACCGTATCTCGACTCAAAATGAACTATATGCCAGGCACCGCCAGCCTCATCGAGGACATCGACAGTGAGTAGCCCATATCCTCCGGGTGAAGCCTGGGGTTGGGATGAGACGCTTCCTCCTGCGGGCGCCTCTTCGCAGGGAATTTATAGAACGGATCCCGGGTCGCGGGCTCCGCGGTGTCATCCTCCACAGCCTCGGACCCACGGCTTGCCCACCCCCGGCCACCTCTGGTGTCCCCTCGCAGCCTCTGCCAGCCCTCAGGCCGGGGAGCCAGTAGCGTGGGTCTTGTTCTTGTTGCCGACGGTCTCAGCGGTCGAGACCCGCCCACGACAGAGGCCTCGCTCGCGTCCACTCCCACCTGCGGCCAGGGGATGGTTGAGAGTACTTATAAGGAATGTTCATCAAAAAACGAAAATATTAAGACAGCAGCAGTTATAGTTAATTAGCAGTAAACGTAGGCTTTCTGTCTTGAGACCGTTTGCAATCTTTTATGATGAGGGTCATTAGCACTTCAGGTTATGGTCTTAGAGACCATTGCCGGACGTGGTACTGACTTTTTTAGAAAGCCTTCGTCACTTCACACTTAACTTTTTCTGTTAGACACTTTTCTTTTGTTTTCACCGAGAATTACTGTACTGAAAAGGAGCTCCGTGCTTGTACAAAAACAAGAGGAACCCTTGCCTTTGTCCTGTCTTTGTATCTTTAAATTCTCATACGTGCGTTATTCCTCAAGCAACATTTTTAATCCTTTTAACCCTATGATTTGCCTTATTAACTTGTAAAAAATTTGTGCAAAATGGTTTTACACAGTTTCAAACAAGTTACAACAGTCCCTACAGTTACTGTGTCAGTATGCAAATTAGAGAGTCTGTGATTGCCATTTTATGTTTATCCGAGATCATTTTTAACTGAAATTACTTGTTTTGCTATTTTAGTGGAAAGTGGATCAAATACATTGGACTTTAGCTTCTAATGTATGTATACGAGTACATATGTAAAAACACTGAAGAAGCCTGGATGTGAAGTATAACGAAATCCTCTATTTTAGTGGCTTGAGGATGCCCCTTTGTATACATGAGTTACTTGAAGCCCCAACACGTTCTACCATTTTACTAAAAATCTTTTTTGTTCTCAATTCCTCTAACGCATATCCTTGTAGATTCCAAGCCCCCCCAATAAGTGAAAAGTTTGAAATCACTTGATAATGCACCCTTCCTTCCCCCACCCCAGAACATACATCGCACACACTCTCCCCTCATTCTTTCTGTATTTCCACCCATTCTCTCACTTAAGTAGGAAGTATTCCTCCCTTTCAGTTATTACTCTTTCTTCCCACTATTTCTGGAAACTTCTTCCTTTTCTTTCATATCTTCTGCACTTCCCTCCTAACTTCTATCCTTCCCTCCCTGTGTGTTGTTATCTTTCCATCTCAGGTAGTTTTGCAGTTATGTCACCCCATCAAACTCCCATCCCTTATGCATCTCTTGAGTCTTGGCTTTGACTCCACTCCTAACCACCTTCAATAGACTGCTTTCCAGAGAGTGAATTCAATCAAGTATGATATATTTGACATAGTGTAAGAACTTTTGAAATACCACAATGTGCCCCCAGCACAATAAAAAAATAAATAAATAAAACCAAAAAATAAATAAGTAAAATAGACTGCCTTCTCTTTTCCCTGCAATCTATCATTTTTACTGCAGACACACTACTTGAAGCTGCAGTCTGAAGTCATCAGTCTTGAGTTCTCTCCTCTGCAGCATTCTGGATTCTTATGGATGTTCTCTGTTTCTCTAGCACTGGTTCTTTCTGGTTTTCTTACCTTTTTGACTGTTACTGTTCTCCAAAAGAGGTGGTCAGAATTGATCTGTTTCATTCCCTAAACTCCCTCTAGGAGACCTTCTGGATGGACTTTAGTCTCATAACTGCTCCTGCTTAGATCAGTCTTCAATGTTTTCTTACTCCTAATGAAGTCAAATCCAAATTCAGCCTACACCCAGTACTTTTCTGGCTTTAACTCCTGTTCTTTCCCTTCACACCTCCAACTTTTAGACAACCATACAAATATAGTCCTTTTTTCCCTCTTGCTTGATTTCCAGATTTCCCTCCCATTTACCTTTCTCCTTTCCCTTTCCCATAGCCAAAAATTATTTGCCTTTCAAAGTCTAACTCATACCTCCTCCAGGTAGATATAGTGTCTCCAAAGTTTTATATAATTAAGATTCTCTTGCTTGTGGTACTTAATTATAGTCCAAGGAAGACATTAATTCCTTCAGGGCAAAATCACTGCCCCTCTATTCTGCATCTAAAAAGTACTTTATGCATAACTTTAAAGAAATGAATGACTGAGATTTTGCTGGCTTTTCTTATCCTTCAATATCCTCAAAGTTATCTCTTCAGAGAGCCTTTCCCTTAACACCCTCTTTTTTTTTTTGTCACCCTCTCTTCTATAACCACTTATCTACTCTTTCCATCATTCTATTCTGCTATCTTGTTTATTATTCTATTGTAATAGGTAATTTTTGTGGGGGGTAGAAGTACTGGGGTTTGAACTCAGGGCCTTGTGCTTGCAAAGCAGGAACTTTACCACTTGAGCCACACTTTCATCCCCCCAGTAGGTAATTTTCTTTTCTTCTCCCCCAATAAATATAAATTTGTAAGGTTGGTAACTTTCACACTTCATAACAGCATATAACTCTTAATGAATACTGAATTTCTGCTCCAGCTTACTAAATCCACTTAAATTTCTGAGGCATTGTTTTTATTTTTGTCTTGGTACTGGAGATTGAACCCAGGACCTCACAGTTTCAAAGTGTAGGCTCTGCCACTGAGTTATACCCCCAGCCCCTGAGACATTGTTTTTATTTAAAACTTTCCTGCTTACAAAGTATAAAGTAGAAACTCTTAAGTTGGACAAAAAATAATTCTAGTATTAAAATCATAAAAGTAATGTAGCCTAGTTTTCTCATTCACAAATGTAGAAATTGACATGACAGAGGGTTTAAGTGTCAAAAGGAAAAAAAAAAAAAGAGCCAGGGCCAGGTGCCAGTGGCTTCTTCTGTAATCCTAGTTACCCAGGAGCAGAGATCAGGAAGATCAAAGCCAGCCTTAGGCAAATATTTCTGGAGCCCTTGTCTTGGGGGGAAAAAAAAATCAAAAAAAGGGGGGGAAGCATGAAAAGAGCACCTGCCTTGCAAGCAGGAGGCCCTGAGTTCAAACCCCGGTGCTTCAAAAAAAAAAAAAATCGTAGTAATGTTGTAGGTATGCAGCCAGGAAGCTTGCCTGGTTTTTTGGTTGGATGGCTGGTTGGGGGTTTTTTTGGCAGCACTGGGGTTTGAACTCAGGGCCTCCCAACGGTCCATTTTTTGGAATGGGTTTTTTCAAACTAGGGGCTCATGAACTATTTGCCCAGGACTGGCTTCTAACTGCAGTCCTCCTGATCTCTGCCTCCTGAGTAGATAGGTTTATAGGCGTGAGCCACCAGCCCCCAGCTTCAACTCTGATTCTTTTAACCACTGATCTTCTTATTTAAATCTCTGCCTGCCCTGGTCCTCCAATTTTTTTCCAGTGAACTCTACCCTACATGCATTAGAAGAGGAAGCATTAATTTTATTTTCATTGTTTTTCCTATAAGCTCACTAAGCCTGACAGCTTTCATTTTAAAGATCTTTTTTCCTCCCCCCAGAAAAGCATTTGGTCCTGCTTCGAGATGGAAGGACACTCATAGGCTTTTTAAGAAGCATTGATCAGTTTGGTATGTATTAATTATGGAGAACTTTTAATCTTTTGTGTAGTAAGAGCCACACATTGCATTTTTTGTTATTTCATATTGAAATTTATTTATCTGCAATTTTTTCACATGTATCTAGCATAATGGAATTGTTTTAAATAAGTAAATCATTGTTTTCCAAATTCTGATTAGGTTATTAAAAGGCTTGTATATTTTACAAGTTTGTATTTTTCTAAAACTGGATTTCACTACAACATTTTGGACTATTTTTTTATTTCCACCATTAGAGGGAGCCAAATGATAGAAATAAACTCAGTCCACTGAAAAGGCTGCTCATTTGTACATTGACTTGGGTGCTACTACTCTTCAAAGCACTTCCTGCACTAAGGTAATCCCTCCCTATCCAAGGAAAATTGGGTAGAAGGCATTTCCTGAAACTTTTTAGGGAAAAGTAAGCTCAATATTTTACATACAGGAATACATCAGACTTAGAAATTTTGATCTTTGTTTTGCAAGTCTGCATCTTTCTAAAGTAAAAGATCTCTGTTTCCCTCTATTGCAAGGAACTTCTCAATTCACCTAACATTTATTGGACATCTGCCATATCACTGAATTTGGGCATGGGGAAGAACAACATAATTGAAATGCTTATAAGAATTACAGAAGATAAAAAGCCACATGAGATGGCGTGTGCCTGTAGCTCCAGCCACTCAGGAGACTGAGGCAGGAAAATTGCTTGAGCCCAGAATTCCAGGCCAGCTTGGGCCATACACAGAATAACCCCATCTCAAAAAGAAAGAAAAGAAGTTATGAACATAGATTTCTGCTGTACTTCAAAGAAGACAAGTAGTACTAATTGAAAGAAGAAAAATAGTTACTCTTAATGAATTAGCATTCTGCATCTTAAGTCCTATTCAGTAGAGTACTTTGAGGGATAAGTAGTGAATATTGAGTTTATTCTTAGAGTATCAGGTAAGGTTATCTGACAAGATGAAAAAATACTGAAATAAAGTTTAGCTGGTAGAGTGGCTCAAGTAGTAAGAGTACCTGCCTAGGAATCCTGAGACCCAGTATCACCAAAAAAAAAGAAAAGAAAACCTTGAAATAACGTTAAATCAATTGGGGTTTTTTTGTTTTGTTTTGTTTTGTTTTTTTCGTGGGGGCAATCCTGGGGTTTTAACTCAAAGTCTCGAGCTTGGTCGGCAAGTGTTCTATCACTTGAGCCACCTCCCAGCCCTTTCTGCTTTGCTTTACTTATTTTTTGAACAGGGTGTCATGTTTATGCCCAGGCCAGCCTGGACTGTGATCCTCCCATGTATGCTTCCCACATAGCTGGGATGACAGGTGTGCCCAACTTTTATAAGATGGGATCTTGGGACCATTTTGCCCAGGTTGTCCTCAACTCTCGGTCCTTTCTCAGTCTCCACCTCCAGAGTAGCTGGGATTACAGCAATTGTTTAAAAGTCTTGCCAGTGGCTCACACCTGTAATCCTAGCTATTTGAAAGGCTAAGATTGAGAGGATCATGGTTTGAAGCCAGACCAAGTGAGACCCCCATCTCCAGAATAACTAGAGCAAAATAGGATGGAGGTGTGACTCAAGCAATAGAACACCTACTTTACAACTGTGAAGCCCTGAGTTTAAACTCCAGTCCCACCCCCCCCCAAAAAAAAAGATCTCCTAAGTTATATGTCCTACTTACTGAAATAGGAGATTATTTGAAATTTTTGTTTTTCCAAAAATTGGAAAGTTTGGAAATAATGTTTAGCTAAATCTTTTTTACTCAGAATAACTGAGTAATTGCATTATGGACCTTTCCTGATAATGTGAACTAAATATCTTTGTTTCTTCCCTATACGCTTTAGCTAACTTAGTGCTACATCAGACTGTGGAGCGTATTCATGTGGGCAAAAAGTACGGTGATATTCCTCGAGGGATTTTTGTGGTCAGAGGAGAAAATGTGGTCCTACTAGGAGAAATAGTAAGTGACACCTGTTAATCTGCTGTGGATCTTGATTCATGCTAGTTAGGTTTCTTTGTCTTTTTAAGAGGGAGAAAAATATTTTCCACATTTCACCCAGCTTCTTGCAGACACCCACCAAATTAGGAAAGCTATAGTTGTTGAAGGGAAGCTAAGAGAATAATTAACTTTATTTCAGTGCCTTTTGGCATTTTAACAATTTAATCTCATTAGCAAAATTTTGGTTTTATCTTACATAAAAAATATTGGACTGGAGGTATGGCTGAAGTGGTAGAGCACCTGCCTAGCAAGTGTGAGGCTTGAGTTTAAACCCAGATACCTGTGTATCTGTGCCAGAAAAACCAGCTGGCAGGTGAAAGGTTAAATCAGATCTTCTGGAGTGTCTTTTGTGTGCTTGTTTGTTTTGGCAGAACTGGGGATTGAACTCGGGCCGCTTATCCACTTGAGCCACATCCCCAGCCCTGAAGTGTTCTTGCTGTGTGTGTACAAACGATTACTTTTTTGGGAGGGAGCATACTTGGTTTTAAACTCAGGGCCTTGCAGTTGCTAGGAAGGCACTTTACCACCTGAACCACAACTCCAGCCCTACATACAAACATATCAGCCTTTGATCAAGTTCTGCTGCTTCTGTTGATTGGGTTTGCCAGAAAAATCAAAATCCCTGTGAGACAAGTTTAAATTAAGAGTTGGAGAGTTGGTGGAGTGGCTCAAGTGGTAGAGTACTTGCCTAGCAAGCATAAGGCCCTGAGTTCAAACCCAGTGCTGCCAAAAGGGGGATGAGGGAGAAGAGCTATTAATCAGCACAGTTTTTCTTTTCTTTACCAAAAACTTTGGCATTTGCTTTTTTTGGTTTTAAATTTTCCAATCAGGTTTTCCAATATCTAGCCATGGCTTAATTCAGTTTACAAAAGTCTTTTGACTAGAGTGGCAGATAATTCTGCCACGATCAGGTTGGTTCAGGGACCTCATCTTGGAAATATTCAGCTAGGAATAACTAATCAAGCACTGCCCAAGTGCAGCTGTTAAATGTATAAAATATCCTTTTATTATTTATAAAGTATTTTTGCAGTAGGTATACTTGGTTCATTTTATCATTTTTTGCATGTTGAAGCAGCAGAAATTGCCATCTTATATTAAAGCACCTAGTGCCCTGGTGGGGAGGGCCTAGTGAGGAACTGTGAAATAGTCTGCCTGTTAAGGGGAGCTAACCCATCTGTGAATGGTGGGGTTATGGGTGATTTTTTAAATGTTTTTCCTCAATTCCATTTCTAAAAACGAAACATTTTTATATCTGGAGAAAAGACTTAAGTTAGAATATATATACATACTCTGCTTTAGGTTTTTTGGGTTGCTTTGTCTGGCTGTATAGCCAAGGCTGTCCTAGAACTCTCAGTCCACACTCCTCCTGCCTCAGCCTCAGCTGGGATTGCAGGCGTGAACCACCATAGACAAACTTTTTATACCAGTTATGTTTGCACAAAGGTGCATCTATGGTAAGTGAATGTATATATGTAAAAAAAGAAGCAGACGTGACTGTTCTTGAAGATTCTTAGTTTTCTAGACTCCCTTTAGTGAGAAAAAGTTCTCATTTTTCTGTGTTAGAGTTTGGATACTGAGTTTTACAGAAGTAGTACTAGAGGAATGCATTTGTGGTTATATGAATCAACAGTCAGTTTGAAGAAATTATGTACCAATTCAGGGAAACTCATACCCAGTTCTGCCCTGGATTCTGCCTCAAGGATGATGATGAACACAGACTTAAGAGATTCTTGGGAAGCAGCAGCATTACAGCCACATTCAGAGCTCAGATGACACTGTAAAACCCCAGCAGTGCACTCAGCTAGGAACATTGTCTTCCCTCCAGTTGCTACCCACAGGTTGCGAGGGCAGGGTTAGGTGATAATATATATCTTGCTAGATGCTGATAACTTTTGACCTAGGGCATGGGTGGCTTACGCAATTGTGTGGCTTTTCTTGTAACCTCTGGTGAGAGTCCTCCATTTGATAATGCAACTGCCTGTGAGTTCTGAGACCTTGGCAGCATGTGACAGTATGCAGGCCAGAACATCTGCAGAGTTTGTGTGTACCTTCCCAAACCTTATCCAGAGTCATAAAGGAACACAAGAAATAAGAGCACAGTCAGACATGGTGAGGCATGCCTGTAATCCCAGCACTAGATAAGCTGAGACTGGAGAGTCATGAGTTCAAAGCCAACCTGCACTGCATAGCAAGATCCTATCTCAAAAAAAAAAGAGAAAGAAAAGAAAGAAACAAGAATACTTTGTATTGGCTTTCCATGTTGTAGAATCACAGAATAATACCTATATGTTTATTTTGAGGAGAATAAAAAATCTGTGGATATTGAGACATACTTATAGCAAGGTCTTTCTGCATTATGAAATTGGTTATCAGATGTTTACAAGGTGTTCAGAAATAAAAATATGAAGTTTATTATGCCATATTAAATGAAAACAAGTCAATCTTTGCATTGTGATGATTTTTAAATTAATACTCCCCTAGAAAAATTGTAAGGATATTCACCAAAATGTCCTCCATATTGGAATTGCAGATGATTTAAAAATTTTTTTCTTGCTTCTCTGCCTATCTTCTAAATGACCTACAATAAGTGTGTACTTTTTTTTTCAGCTTCTCTATTTCTTTAATTGGAATATAAGCTTCAGAAGGCCAAGTCCCATGTCTTGCACTTTTCTGGCAGACTATTACACAGGCACTCACTCAATCAGGAAGTACTTCTTTTTCTTCACTTTTATAATAGGCTTTGGCTCCACTGCAGGTGAAAACATGGAAAAGAGATAGCCACAGCCTTCTCTGGACCATGTAATGATCCAGAAAGGCTAAATCTACAGATTCAATCACAGGCCCTTCAAAACATGGCTTACAATTTACCCACATTTTACTGTCCTAGCACCTCAGGACATGGGCTGGTGCCACAAGTCTTGGCAACCCACTTGCTCTGGACTTTAAGCTCTTAACTCTGCCACTTGCATGTGAATTGTTCTCCCTGCTGTGCTCCTAGCAGCTTGCCATATGTCTTTGGGGAAAAAGACAATTTCTCTCTTACCTACCTTAAGTGAATTATTAGTATATGCTGCACAGGGGAAAAGAACAAGGTATAACTTAACATGGTCATTCCTTCCATTTGTACCAGACTTTATGCCTATTAAATCTCACTGGATTCCCACAATAATGGGGGGCAGTGTCATTCCTAGTGTGTGTGAGTGATACTAAGGGCCTCAGAACTCAGGGCCTCAGCCATGCGAGGCAAGTGATCTGCTACTGTGCTACACCCCACTCCTTTTTATTTATTTTGAGATGTCTCACTAAGTTGCCTAGGCTGGTCTGGAACTTCTGATCCTTCTTTCTTGCCTCGAAAGCCCAAGGCCCTGAGTTCAAACCCAAGTGGGGGGGGGGGTGGGGAACAGGGTCGGGAACTGAAGTCCTAAAGTATAAAGTTGTCCTGATCACAGGGACATTACTATTACACTGGTGGAGACAAGTTCGAACTAAGGTCTCCTATTCTGAATGAAATGCTCTTTTGCTTAGAAATGAAAAATACTAGGTTTTTTAGATCCCTCATCTCCAAAGGGAAACAAAGATTGTTTGCTTGTTTGTTTACTTCTCCAAGATGTCAGCTAATCATTCAGTTGAACAGTATCCTTGTTCAACTCAATGTTTACCAGGTTGCAAAACTGAGCCCCGCCCACCCACTCTGAAATAGAAACTTTTTTTTTTTTTTGAGGTTCTGGGGCTTGAACTCAGGGCCTTCACCTTGAGCCATTTCGTCAGCCCTATTTTTGTGGTGGGTATTCTGAAGACAAGGTCTCTCGAACTGTTTGCCCAGGCTGGCTTCAAACTTCGATCTTCCTGATCTCTATCTCCTGAGTAGCTGAGATTATAGGCATGAGCCACGGGCGCCCAGCCTTTAAATGGAAACTTTTGTCCCAAGCTTCCCGGTGGGCTACCCAGGTCAGCAACCCACCTCTCTAACATTGGGCATATACAGTAGTTCCCCAAACACATGGACACAGGGAGCCTCCAGCACCTGGTGGATGAGTGTGGCCAGCGCTGCCCCCTTGGTCGATTGGCCAGGAGCAGAAATTGCTCCTGGTTCTGCCCTGTCACCTTCACCTCCGCACTCTTGGCTGCACTGAGCTGGGGGACCTGGTGTCTGATTGGAACTGCAAGGAAAGAGGATGTGGAGCTAGAGGGTGCCCAACACTGGCAGGATCATAAGTGTGTATTTTTGAAGTGAGGAAAAAGAAACTTTTAGCAAGCAAAAAAAATTAATTCATCCAGGCACCAGTGGCTCACGCCTGTCCTAGCTACTCAGGAAGCAGAGATTAGGAGGATTATGGTCTGAAGCCAGCCTGGGCAAATAATTCCTGAAAATGTGTCTTGAAAAAACCCATCACAAAAAAGGGGCTGGTGGAGTAGCTCAAAGTGTAGGCCCTGAGTTCAAGCCCCAGACTGCCAAAAAAAAAAAAAAATATTCAACACAAAAACAGGGCTGGCAAAATGGTTCAAGTGGTAGAGCACCTGCCTAACAGGCATGAGGCTCTGAGTTCAACCCCAGTACTATTTCCTCCCCATCCAAAAGAAATTTTTTTAATTAGTAGAGAAATACAATGGGGCCAGACGGGTTGGGTAACTTACCTACTTTCCTAAAGTTTTCTATAGACTTATTGCCTGAGAGAGGAAAAGAGTCTTAGGTTATAGTTTAGGAACCCCTAATTAATGTGGCAGAGGAATAGTTTATTGCCTTTAAAGGGGTGAGGAGGTGCCTGGGGATGTAGCTTAGTAGTAAAGCACTTGCTTAGCATGTGCAAGGTCCTAGGTTCAATCCCCAGCATCTTCAAGAAAAAAATGGTGGAGAGAGTGGTGTAAATTTGAATCAGTGTTCTCTGCCCTCTTACTGAGTTACAGCCTCCAAAAGTTAAGCCAACTTAGAAAAATATAAAACTTCTCTAAAACCATCTCGGCTTCAGTAACTTTCTTGGATTCTGCACAATTAAGGAGATAGCTATGTATAAGCTTTGTTTGTTTGTTTTGGCAGTACTGGGATTTGAACTCAAGGTCTCACACTTGCTAGGCAGGTGCTCTTACCACTTGAGCCATTCCCCCAGCCCTAGCCCTAAAGAAAAGTAATCCTTCACTTTATAAAAAGACCATCCTGACAAATGTAGAGTGGGCTATAAAGCTAGGCTATCAACGCTGGCACTGATCCTGTTACCACATTCTGAGTGTGTGTTCTGTGGCAGCATTGCAGCCATTTGTTTGACTGTCCCTAGGAGAAGGATGCTCCAGCCCTGTCACAATTTTGAAAAGCAGTCCAAGTCTGATACAGTAATCCATCTGCCTTTTATTTAGATCTGTAAGGTTTTCTCTTCTTGGTCTTAATGGGAAGTTTTTCAAAGCTGCCTGTTTTGCAGGACTTGGAAAAGGAGAGCGACACACCCCTGCAGCAAGTGTCTATTGAAGAGATCCTAGAAGAACAGAGGGTAGAGCAGCAGACCAAGCTGGAAGCAGAAAAGCTGAAAGTTCAAGCCCTTAAAGATCGGGGTCTCTCCATTCCTCGAGCAGACACCCTTGATGAGTATTAAGTCCTTTGCTCAGAGACTGTTGCTCTTATAGAGCAGGGACTATCACTGGATGAAAGCGACATCCTGGTCACCTCACACATTTGACCAGAGACTGTAAATATGAAAAATCTTTTTTATTTTAAATTCTTTCACATATGTAATATGAAGAAATCATGAGATTTTGTTTTGTTTAAATAACAAAATCATTTAAAGAAACAGTGGCATGGACTCCTTTCACATACATGGCACTGCAGAGCTAGCAGCTATGTCTTCATATTGCTTTTCTTATTCAGAATTAAGTTTACAGTTTTCATTTACTTGTAAATAAAATATGAATCTTGGAGTTGTTTTTTTCTGAAATTGGAGTTGCCTCCAGTAAATAGACAAAATTGTTTCTACTGGAAACACACACTGCAATTTCCCCTACTGTCACAATTCCAAGTAGCTGATTACTTATAAAGGAATATTTTCATATTAATTATCTTGTGGGTCCTTCAGCTCCCCTTTTAATGTTTGTATCTGATTAGAAATAAACAAATTTTCAGGTTTGAGAAGATAGCTTTCAGTTAAGTTTCCCAGTAATTGGTTACAACAGAATCTCATGTTTTGAGAAATAATTTCACTCTTGCTTTACCCACAGCTATTCCAAACTAAGTTCCCATGAGAGCAGACATTTTCCTGAGGTGGCTTGTCTGAATCTCCTCATTTAGTTAGGAGTCCTAGTCCATTAGATTGAGTCTTTTTTTTTTTAATTTTTATTTTATTCATATGTGCATACAATGTTTGGGTCATTTCTCCCCCCTGGATTGAGTCTGGAGCTGCTTTTAGCGCATACCATTAAAAAAAAAAAAAACACAAATGGTGTTTTTATGACCAACAACCTGTAGTGGCATGGCTGTTGAAGAGTGTGAATAAAGCAGACTGTACTTTAGAAAGTAGTATGGTTAAGTAGACTGTGGACTGAAGGAGTAAGGAGAGAGAAGACAGTGTAAAAATTGACTTATTCATGATTTCAGTAAGACAGTCATCCTCTCTGGTTCTCAGTACTTTAAACTGTGAGCCAGCTACTTGACTTTATAGTCTCTTTTGCAAAGATGTCCTTTTCATTCCTATATATGTGAATTATATTATAGTATTAAATATGCTTAGTTTATGACAGGTGTTTTTAAACCTGCCCCAAATGCCTGTAAACAGTTTGACTGCTGAAGTCTTCGTCACTGGGTTGGTTTTACAGTAGATAATTTATGAAGAAGTTGTTGTCCTTGAGCTGAGGCAAGTGGTAGAGTGCTTGTCTGGCATGTGCAAGACCCTGGGTTCAATCCTCAGCACCACCAAAAAAAAAAAAACAAATGTCTTTAATGATTTATCTGTAATCTTAACTGTTTATAGCCAGAATTTGTTATTAACTACCCACACAAAGAGAAAAACACCATCACCAACTTTTAAAACATCGGAGTACAATAAGATACTCTCAGAGCTCACAGAACAACAGCATTTATTTTACTGAGCTCCACTGTTTCAGAGTATGTGACACCTTCAAGAGACATGCACTATTGTTATCTTTTCAACATCCATTAAATAATTCCAGTCATATGCTAGTGGCACACGCGTGTAATCCTAGCCATTCAGGAGGCAGAAATCAGTTGCTTCAAGGCCAGTGCAGGCAAAATGAAGCGAGAATCTATCTCAAAAATTCCCAACACAAAAAAAGGGCTGGCAGAGTGGCTCAAGTGGTAGAGCGCCTGCCTGGCAAATACGAGGCCATGAGTTGAAACCCCAGTACCACAAAAGAAAATTCAAATGTAATGACAAGGCATACGAGTTACAAGAGAGAAGGGACCTACATGCCCTAAGTCCACACTTAAATCCATTGGCTTCTCAAGCCATCATCAGGTTTCAGTCATGTGTGAGGCTGTAGATGTGTGTCATGCAGCAGCCCAGAATTAGATCAAAAGGATGAAACTACCTGTCAGCTTCCTAACTCTTAGTCCCCTGGCTGCTCAACAGTGGCTTGCCTTTGACTGCCCCATTCCAACTGCAAATACTAAAATCTGGTCCTTTTTCCCAGACCAGTGCAGGAACTCTTCTATTACACTTCAGGAACAGTTCTAATTCAGACTTCCATTTGGGGCTCCCATGAGACTGCTTTCAGAGTTGAAAAATAAGATCTATCAAAACTCCATTTCTGGCCATCATCCCGAAATAATTGAGCATATATTTTACTCTGAATTGTTCTTCCCCTCACAGACACACAGGCCCTTGACCTTAAATTGCAATGCTTTCGGCTGTTTAAACTACAATATCTCCTCCCCTCTGCTCTCATTAACTCTTGAAAGGCCTTAGATACTCAGTGCACCCAAATACCCTCACATTGTCCATTGTGGAGGGTTCTTAGGGAAGGGTGAATCCTAGGGATTCTGCCTGGGGAAGAGGGTTGGAATGGGAAGTTCAGAGAGCAGTTTAGACAGCTGAGGGTGCAGGTTGGTAGGCACAGCAGGCAAAAGAAAGCACTGATGCTACCTGGGCACCAGAAGCTTGTGCCTGTAATCCTTGCTACTTAGGGGGCAGAGACCAGGAGAATTGTGGTTCAAAGCCTGCCTGGGCAAATAGTTTGTGAGACCCCCATCTCAAAAATACCCAAGACAAAACAGGACTGGCGGAGTGACTCAGTGGTAGAGCACCTGCCTAGTAAGCACAACACCCTGAGTTCAAGCCCCAGTACCACCAAAAAAAAAGCATTGATGCCACTGCTATGAACAGTTTCCACCTCTAGTCTGAGAGCCATCCACCAAATTCATGTACTACTGTACAGTTCTAGAAATGATCCCCAGGAATTGTGCCTGGAGAGAAAACAGGAGAGGCAGTTAGTGAAACATCCCCAGTCCCCACACCCAAAAAGAAATTATAAATATATACAATATGTACACGTGTGTGTGTGTTTGGGGTGTTTTCTCAACTTTCAAAAGGCTTACTCCAAGGTGAGTTCCGTCCAGTTTTCTGTCACATGTAGGACAGCATTCCCAGCGATGAAGGAAAACAGCTGCAGGCTGGTGCTCTAATGCTGTATGCTAAATCTGTATGCTTACAGATTTAGGCTTGAGGAAAAAGCCAACCATAATTAAGGGAAGAGGAGCAGGAGAGCATCTAGTCTGAATGTGAGCTAAGCAGGAATGTGATCTGTGGCACACAGCTCACATACATACATGCTGCACCAAGGCGACTGACTTCTGAAGGCAACATCCAGCTTAGGCCTATGTTGACTCTGGGAGAGTGTTTGAAGATGATCAACTAGTTTAAACCCACGTTGCAACCTACGAGGTCATGAAATGAACTTAGTGATTTGTAAGCAGAATTTTTTTTTAAGTAGCATAGAACACAAAGTAAAGTGTATGATGACAAAATTAGGTTATTTGTGAAACTTGTTAGATGCATGTATGCACATACTGGCAATGTAAAATGGAATTGTTACTGTGGGTGGCTGTCAGTTATTTGAAAAACACTAGTTTGTATTAAGTTTGTCTATGCTTATTGTGATCAGGAAAGAAAAGGTACAAGTTCCTTTTCATATCTTTCATTTCAACCTCTGAAAATCACCGTGCTGGGGCTGAGTTTGCCACTCTATGTGCTTAGAATAAACTTTTCTAAGATAATTGCATGAATCCTTTCCTCATGATCTTCAGATCTCTGCTCACATGGTAGAGCACTTGCCTAGCATTCATGAGACCCTGAGTCTGCTCCCCAGCACAGCAAAAACAAACACAGAACTACCCCTGCTGATTTCCTCTCCAGCTTTAGTTTCTATCCTAGAAGCTATCACCACCTGACATCAATTTTACTTGTTTACTTTCTCCTCCCAGCCTCCTCTAGAATATAAACCCTTAAGGATGAAATTTCTGTCTTATTCATTCTCATATCCCCAACATCTAGAATGATGGCATACCTTAGGACTCAAAGTATATTTGTTGAATTGAAGGATGATGGATGGATAGATGGACAGAATCAAATAGTGAATTAAGGCTGAAAAACTAAGATATTTCAGAGACCAGCAGGCCACCAAAAGGTGGAGACATCTGGGCCACTGAGTAATAGGGAGTTGAGTCATTCATAGACACACTTCCAGTGAGTACAGAGATGCCTGCTCTTGCTGGGGGCGGCCTTCACTATAGGCCCCTGCTCCAGCTGTGAAGAGTTGGGAGACAATTTGTGTAGTGCCTGGCAAAGCATCCCAGAGAAATCTACTAGGTCATGAAGTGAATTTAGTGGTTTATAGCGGGGCTGTCTTTTCTAATTGGAATAGAAAACAAAATAGAGTACATCATATATAAGAAAGGCCTTAGCAGGATTGCTGGAAGTAGAGATATTCTCTGCCTGTTTTCCTCCTAACTGCCTTCCAGGTGTATTGGGCCACAGTGCCCACTCCTGTCCTGCATATCACCACTCTGGAGGACCCCTTGAATTAACAGGAGCAAGCGACCGCTTCCTGGGCATTGGACTTCTCCAATTACAAAAGTAAATATTAGGCCAGGTGTGGTGGTGCACATCTGTAGTTCTAGCTACTCAGAACTTGTTGCCCAGCTTGGGAAACAGTGAGACCCTCAACCATCCCTCAAGGAACTGGAAAACCAACCTAGAAAATGGAGCACATCTGCTGCTCACCTCTCCCAGAGCTCTGGGTCAGAGCTCTCCTGCTGTCTGATCCCCGGGTTCTGCCAGGGCTTCCTTTCTTTTCTCCCCTTACTTCATCACTTTGCATGTGGTCTACCCACTCTCTGTCCCCCTACTCCAAAAGTGCTGCCACTGTGCAGAGGATTGAGTGGCGTCCAGACTCAAGTAGCCAATAGCTGGGGTCAAGAGGAAGAGGGAGGCTCATGCTCAGCAGGTCTCAAGGCAGGAATCCAGATGGCCTGGGATCTGTCCCTCAGGTTCACTGAGGGACAATTTACATACATACAGTAAAGCCTAGGCTTTTCTTTTTTTTCTTTTTTCTGTACTGGGGGTTGAACCCAAGGCCTCGCTCTTGCTAGGCAGCACTTGAGCCGTGCCCCCAGCCCTTTTTTTGCTTTAGTTAGTTTTTGGATAAGGCCTCGCATTTTTGCCCAGGGCACCTTGGCCACAATCCTCCTTCCTATGCCTCCCATGTAGTTGGGATTCTAGGCACACCTGTAATCTCATTCTTTTTAGTGTGTAGTTTTTTTGATTTTAACAACTGCCTGTAGTTATGTAGCCACCATCACAAACAAAAGCTAGAAGTTTTTCACCATCCCTATCCATTGTATTTAACTTCTTCTCCTTCTCCAAACCCTTAAAATCGCTTGATCTGTTTTCTGTTGCTATACTGTATGTCAGCAGATAACTCAAAATTTTCTTAAAAGGAACATAGGTCCCATAAAAAATCTGAATGTTTAAATTCAACGTATCTGCTTTTAGAGTATTCTTCAGGTTTAGGTCACTATAAAAGACCAACAGCTTTAACTACGTTCTCTGCCAACATCCCTGGGCAAGGAAACCATGTCTGGCTTACACCAGGCATGCTCTGTCATTATGACCTGCTGAGTCCTCAGTGCTTGCCAGACTCCTAGGATGTCCTGGGGTCCTCCCTGCTTCAGCAAACTAGCAAATCACACTTACCTCCTCCATGCAATTAAGGATGAGTCTGTGAAGCAATGGTGAGCAACTCAAATTAAGAGACTGAACTATAAAGGTGTTAACCTGTAATCATCTCTACCAGTGAGGTAACTGGTGTTGTCCGTTTGCCGTAACTGTCAGGGCACTTCTCACATTGCTCTTTTGGAGACCCTCCATTCATCTACTAGGAAATAGTACAGGCCCCGCATGTAGTCCAGGCTCACCCTCACCTCCAGGATGACCACCTTTAAGAAGCAGAAGAACACTAGATCTACTGAAAAGCCACAGAGTGGCAGGCTGTACACTTTCCAGTCAACTAAACATGCACTGTGTTACTGTGCTAAGCACTAGGATTCAAGAACCAATAGGAAAGGGGCCCTATTCTTACGAGCCAGTGCCCTCATAATCCTAGGTAACCCCTAACTGTGTTTTCCAAATTCAACTCAAATGTCCTTCCAGAAGCTCCCTTAAACACCTCTACCTCCCTCCCCCTGGAATTCCATGTTCCATCTGCTGTACCTTGTTACATGTAGCTTTATATGTTTATGGAGATGTAGAATAGGGGGAATTGTCAGTAGTCTTGTTAGTACTGTGATATACATTTGCCAAGGGGCCCCAACACAAAAAGTATTGATGCTGGGCAAGGTAGTTCAGCTCTGTAGTCTCAGCACTTGGGAGGCTGAGGCAGGAGGATCATGAGTTCTAGGCTAGCCAGGACTGCATAAATGAAATTGTCTCAAAAAAGGAAAAGAAGGAAGGAAGGAAGGAAGGGAAGGAAGGATGAAGGGAAGGAGGGAGGGAGGGAGGCAGGGAAGAAAAGAAAGGAAAGAAGGAAGGAAGGAAGGAAGGAAGGAAGGAAGGAAGGAAGGAAGGAAGGAAGGAAGGAAGGAAGGAAGGAAGGAAGGGGGAGAGAGATAAGTATTGAATTCTAATGAAAGAGTCAGGTAAGGCTGTTACAAAGGGAAGCCTGGGAGGGGAGATAACGGTGTGCGCTGCTTTGGAAGTGGAGGTATGCCAACTGTGGCAGGCCCCTCAGGTTTGTGTCCAGCACTGATGGAGAGGATATCCAGGGTGAGTATTCAGAGGATTCAGAGATTGTGCTAAGCAAGTTGGGACTTCATTTGGGGGCTCTTGATGTACTGTTGCCTCCTCTAGGCCTCAGAACTACCCTGAGAGATTGAAGAAAACACATCCCTGTTTTCCCAGCGCATGAAGGGCATGGTGGGGCTAGCTCAGGAGGTCCACATGGGCCCAAAGCCAGTGCTCTTCCCACATGACCAGGGCAGTAAACCAAAAGGTGGGTGCTATTGCTCCCCAACCTCAGTCTCGGCTTCTAGGAACCTGCAGAGGAGCCTCCCCACTCCACCACAGCTCTGCCTCTCTCACCACACCCTACAAACATCCCACCATACTCACAGGCACACTAAACATCCCAAATGCCCAAGACAGCCAGCTGGCAACCTTCAGAGCCTTTGTGTTGTTGGCCATTCCCTACCTGGAACACCCTCATGTCACTCTCTCCAAACCCCACCATTAACTAGCCAACTCCTATTAATGCTTTCCAGACTTCACTCCAATTCCACCTCCCCCCAGAAGCCTCCTATGGCATTCCTTTCCTGCCCCCTTGCTTCCTTATGGACCAGCTGCTCTATCCTCTGTGCTTCTACAATGTCTCATTTGCTTTACTACTGGGTCATGTGATCTGCCTTACGGGGTTGTAGTTATAGAGCTGTGCAGTGGACATTCAGTATAGGATTGTTAAATGAATAACTGAGTGGATTCCTTTTTCTGCTCCACAGCCCAGCCTCCCTCTCTGGAGTTGTCCTCTCTGGCATTCTACACTGTCCAAGCCAGGTCTATGGCTATCCTCCCTCCTGGCCTGCTGTGCCCAGCTGGTCTCCTTCTTTGGAGGTTCTAACCTCATCAAAAAGCTCTTAGAGATGGATTCAGAAGTTGTCCAGAAGCAGAGGACATTCCCAGATTTCTTCCCCACCTTCCTGCTCAGAGGGACAGCAAGAGTTAATTAGTCATTCAGCCTAGAAGGATGAAGAAAGCCTTGGCAATGGGGGAGGTCACCCAGCATGCCCTCCCTGAGTCAGTGGCAGTGTCTGACATCAGCACAGCTATATACCTCAGTGCTCCAGTCAGCCCACACCCCCCTCCCTCCTCAGAAAGTCTTAATTCCCCACAGGATGGCAACAGCGGGGCCTTGAACGTTATCTGCAGTCTGTTCCTCAATAACTGCCTCCCCATTCCCCACCACCTTTCAAGAAGGAGGCCCACGTGTGCCTGAGGCTGCACGTGCACTGACCCATGGGTAGAGAGAGGTGCCTGCCCAGCACGTCCTCTACATCTTCCCTTTGCAAGGCAAGGCCTGGGCACAGGCTGGAGACAAAACAGACACCTGTTTTCCCTGGGACTCTGTGAGACTCCTCCACTAGCTACTTCCCCAAGGGGTCGCTCAACAGAAGAACAAGACTCCACTCTGTGTCCCTGTGGGAGCTGAGCACTGGGGCCAGAGACAGGGTTTGGAGGGGATGTGAACCTGTTGCCTGCCTCTGCAAGCTGCAGTGGGCCTAAAGGAATGAGCCAGTGCCTCCAGGCAGCCATTGCTCATGGGACTCTTTGTGCCCACTTTTACCAGGACTTAAGTGGGGGCGGTGGCACTCACCTGTCCTGTTACAGGCACTGGTCTAGGCACATCTGCTGCCCTTTCGTCCCAGCCGTAGAGAGAAGGTGGATAAAGTGTGTCCACCCATGCGAGTGTTTCCGTGGTTAGCCTCCCACCCCCTCAGGCAGTGTTGATGGGACACAGAACTCACACACAGGAGAAAGGGCAGATCTGGTGTCTTTCTATCAGCAATATTCTTGCCAGGTGAATTTGTTTAAAAGTGACCTCAAGGTCACCCTTAAAGGGAAAGGATGTTGTCAGAGCAGTTCCCAAGCTTCTCTGTAGCTGTGCCTGGGTGTGTCTGGGACTAACAGTCAACTTGGAGGCAGGCCTTGGAGTCCTTGGTTAGCACAACAGGACCCCCAAACTGTGAAGACTGGGTGAATGCCCCAATACTCTTGTCTTTTCCACTTTTCTGTACATGCCAAGCCCCGTTGTCTGCGCAGGGAAAGCGTGAGGAAGGGTACAGGGTAAAGCTCCTATAAAGCTCCTGCTTTGGGAGCTTACAGGCCAAAGCCCCACCTCAGCCCCAAGGTGTCAGGACTGCTTTGGCACAAGCCCCTGAGAGAATTCAGAATGGACCTTGGTAAAAAAGTGGTTCTTACAAACAGGTGAGTAGGTAAACAAACAGTTGAACACTCAGGTGTCCAGGGGTCCAGAGGCAGAAGCATGTCCTAAGGCCAGAGGAACTGTGTCATTTTCTGAGACTTGCCTCTGACCGGCTGTATGACTCTGAACCACTCATTTCCACCCTTTGGACTTCAGGCTGCCAAATGTAGGAATGGGGGCCACATGACCCCTAGCCACTTCGACTTGCTCTTTTTTGGGCAGACACCCTAGCTCACTCTCCCAGCCATTTCTTTGTGAATGCAGGTTTCTGAGCCTCAATGGTACACCGGCTGCACTGGAGCTTGAGGATAGGGCTCAAAGCCTGCATTTTATACTTTAAGAAACACGGCATTTCCTCTGCTACACTGCCCCATCTCAGCAGCCTGTATTTTTGCCTTCTGTCCACTAAGTCTGGCACTTTCCTCCTCCCACCCTCCCCACAAATGGCCAGCACAGCAGCGTGAGGCAATCCCACTATCCTTGACCCCTTCCTCTGCACAGTGAATGATGGCTTTTTTATCTCCCAGTGATGATGCACAGCCTTCAGCTGGAGGCATTTAAGACACAGAGCACATGGTCCCCAAGCACAGCTGCAGGATCCAGAGGTGGACCTTGAGGGGCTCAGGAAGAAGGAAGAGGACGTCTTTGGGAGGAGCAGGAGCAGCCAGCAGCAGTACCACATCAGCCAGGAAACCATGCTACTAGCAACATTTAAGCTGTGTGCTGGGAGCTCCTATAGACACATGCGCAACATGAAGGGTGAGTCCCTGGGAGGGGGGAGGCATTGGGGTACTGGTCAGCTTTCAGGCAATTTGGTTTACTGGGAAAGATCCTGGAAAGGGGTCAGGACACACAGGTTCTGACTCCCAGCTATGCTTCTTACTGGGTGGGCCTGGCAAGTCTCCTCCCGCCAGGACCCATTTTCCCACTGGAAGAATTGGACTGGATACTAAGATGCCCACGTCCCGTCCAGATTCTGTAATTTCTAGTCTCTGCTCCATGCTTGAACTACTCTCTAGTCTCCTTCTTCAGGACTGGATAAGGCCTATACCAAGGGTACCAGGGAAGTCTTGGCCTTAATAGCAGAGGTAGAAGCCAGCCTGGACTCCAAAAGCAATGTTGGCAAGCCTGAGATGCTGGTAAGGAAGAGAGGCAGGAGGAAAAAAAAGGCAGGAGAGTAAGACAGAAGAGCTCGGCAAAGAATGAAGGTGGGTGAGCAGGGAGTCTTGTTACCTTTGTACAGCCAGCAAGAGGCAGAACCAGCCACTCTGGGTCACTTCTGTAGAGCTCCTTAGGACCTAAAGCCATTGAGTCAATTGCTGCCCTTGAAGGGCACACAGACCAACCTTTTTAATTACACGGGGCTGAATTAGCCACACTGAGAGGACCAGAAGGCAGCTAGTAGTGGAGCTGCCCCAGGAAACTGAGAGGACTTCCCTGGCTCCCAACCCAGTGGCACACTAGGTGGCTACCTCCTGCAAAGAACCCTAGCTGCTGGCAAGACCAGGGGTTTCTCATATTCTCCTTCTGCAGCAGGACTTTTTTGGTTGAACCAAGTTTCTCCAGCAGGCTCTGGTATGCCCTTGCCTCCAGGTAGGGTCAGGGCTGACCACCCCCCTCCCTAAGGAAGGCAGATTCCTGGATCCGGGAGGTGCCTGTTACAGTATCACAAGTACTGAACTGCAAGTTAGAGACCTGGCCCTAGTTCAGGTCCCTACTAGGAATCTGTGTTCCTGAGCAAGTCGCTTCCCTCATCTGTGACAAGATGAGCAGATAAATAGTCTCTCTGTGAGGACTATTACAAAGAACTGGTTGGTAACAGTTTCCTTCCCTCCTCACAGGGCTGAGGCACCAAGCTGTGTTAGCCATTGGTCAGGAGCTGAATCGGAGAGCACTGGGGGACTCAAATCCTGGCACGTGGATTAACCAGGTTCGGCGTCGGAGCTCTCTGCTTGGTAAGTGCTCAAACACCTGGGCTTGTGCAGTGAGGCAGGTGCGCTGTTGTACAAGGCTCATATGCCCTTCTGCCCTTCAGTCCGAGAGTTCTTAAAGACACATCCCTGGTCACCTGCAGCTGCTGTGTGTAACTTGACCTAGGGCTTTGGCTTTGGCCTAGCTCCTTGGATATATTTTTTTTGCGGGGGCGGGGTGGGGGGGTTGAACTCAGGGTCTCATGCTTGCTAGGCAGGCACTCTTACTGCTTGAGCCACTCTACCAGCCCTGGTCTAGCTCTTTGGAAGAACAAACACACCCAAAGATCAGGGGTATTGGAGCGGGGGGCAACCAGGACACTAGAAGGACACTGTCTCCTGATGGCTGTGTATCCAGGTTCTCGGCTGGAGGAGACTCTCTACAACGATCAGGAGCTGGCCTATATCCAGCAGGGAGAGGCAGCCATGCAAAAAGCCCTGGGCATCCTCAGCAACCAGGAGGGCTGGAAGGAAGAGAACCAGCAGGTAAGGGGGGTGTGGAGAAATATGCAGTTCCTGATGGTCCTGCAGCCATTCTCAAGGCTAGCTGGGGTCACTGCTCCCAGGACTCCTGCCTCATGCAGTAGTCACTAGGCAGCAAGAACTTTTACCTTAAGAACTCTCCCTTCCTTAAGAATATATCCTAAGATAACCCCTCTCTCCCTAAAATACTCGTTTGAGAAATATTCTTCCTATATTCTTAGCTACTCTCCAAATACGTGGTACACTCATTTAGCAGAAACCACACATGGACTCTATGTGCAAAAAAGGCTATGTCACCAAGTGTCACCATACCCTAAGTGCCAAAATGCATCCTGTACTGTGAGGTGAGCTTTCAAGGGTGCTGTGGGCTCACCCTGCCCCAGGACTGGACTAGAACACAGAGATGGCTGAAAGCTGCCTGGGGTCCTCTGCCCTGTCAGTGCTCTCTCTCTGGAGACCAGTAACAAGACTCAGGTTAAAGCCAGTGGCTCTATTATTGGAGATTTTGATGACCATGGGCAAAAGCTCACATGCTGTCCTTTATCGTAGTTCAGATAAGACATCTTCCTCAAGCTCTCTCAGTAATGAAAATAATAGACTAAAAGTTTGGGAGTCAAGAAACCTGGTATCTAGGCTCAGTACTGCTCTGCTCTTAGAGAAGAATCCCTGAAAAAAGTCACTTTCTCTTGTCCCACCTCCTTCTGGTATGAAATAAGATATTAAAATAAAATTTAAAAATTTAAAGATCCCAACCAACCATCTTCCTGTTAGATGGCCATAGATCAGACTTTTCCACTTCCAAGTTTGTCTTTCAGGATCTTTGAGCTTCTAAAGTCAAGTAAAGGTCTTTTCAGTTGGACCTGCCCATATCACTAAGAAAAGAGCCCAGGCCAGGAAGGTTATCTTTCCAGTCTCCAGCAGATGTGGAAGGCTTGGGGAAGCAATGATTACCTACTGTTTCTTAATCAGAGAGGGATAGAGGTATCTTCATGCTTAGCTTAGACTTTTCTGGTTTGTGAGACAGAATTTCACCATGTAGCACAGAGTGGCCTGGAGCTCGGAGCTCAACATGTGACCCAGGCTGTCCTGAAATTCACAATCCTCTGTCTCAACCTCCCCATGCTGGGATTACAAGAGTGTACCACCATACCTGGCTCTGGACTTCCTTTTGCTGGTCCCCTTCTATCTTGCCTGATATTGTCTAAGACCTATGCTAGAAATGTTCTTCTCTAACCTTAACCTTGGGGCTCCTTTCTCTTCCTGACAGGCAAATGGGGACAAAGTGCTGAGTAAGGTGGTCCCAGATGTGGGCAAGGTGTTCCGGTTGGAGGTGGTAGTGGACCAGCCCATGGAAAGGCTCTATGAAGAACTTGTGGAACGCATGGAGGCAATGGGAGAGTGGAACCCGAATGTCAAGGAGATCAAGGTGAGGAAATCCCAGGTATGGGTAGCAGGGACCCAAGGACTACCAGTCTGAAAGGCTGGCCAAAGGGACTGCAAACTGTGGGTTGTGCTGTGCTGGCCCCACCACTGGCTGAGTAGTGACTCTGCTTCCCTTGTGGCCTGGTAGATCCTGCAGAAGATTGGAAAAGATACGGTCATCACCCATGAGTTGGCTGCAGAAGCTGCAGGAAACCTGGTGGGGCCCCGTGACTTTGTGAGTGTGCGCTGTGCCAAGCGCCGAGGTTCCACCTGTGTGTTGGCAGGCATGGCCACACACTTTGGGGAGATGCCTGAGCAGAAAGGCATCATCAGGTAATCCTAGCAGCAGCCTCAGAACTCCCTTCTCCTAACATAGGCATGTAGGGCCTGTACCTAGTGTGTGAGTCTGAAACCCAGATCCAAGAAAACATTGCTGTTTCCCACCTTCAGCTTCCTTTTACAAAACATTCTTGTTTTCCCAAGTGAGGGAGAAAGACAAAAGAGACCCCACTTCAACAATCAACCAGTTTGATCTAACCCTCCAGAAAGTTTTAAGAACCTCAAAAATTTTCCAAAGCAAGGGGTAAGGCTGAGGTCTAGCTGGTATTCTCAGGTACAGCAGTACTGTCAGTTAAAATACTGAAATAGCCCACACTCCTTAGAGCACTGTGGCCACTTGAGATTCCGAAGAGCCCTAGCCACCACCCTGAATCTTTCCCCCAGCCTCCCTGCAGTCTAGCAAGCAAAGGGCACAAAAGGCCCCAACTTACTACCAGCATTTGTTCTGATGAGTCAGTAATTATGCCAACTGTTAAATACTCCCCTTAGTGAAAAGTACTTCCTGATGAAATTTAGAAAAAAAAAGTACTCAATGTGGCTAATCTAACTAGTCAAAGTAAGAACTCTGATTTGTCTTCCTGATGATTGCTCTTCATTTTTCAGGGCTGAGCATGGTCCCACATGTATGGTACTTCATCCACTGGCTGGAAGTCCCTCAAAGACCAAACTCACTTGGTTGCTCAGTATTGATCTCAAGGTGAGGGGCATGGGAGATGGATCAAGGGGTAAGTGGTAATGAGAAAAATAGGTCCTTACTCCTTCCACATAGAACATAAAGAATACCCTTCTATTTTGAAGAATCACAGGCTGTTTAACAGGCAAGGAACTTGAGTATGGCCTAATTTGCTATTCCTCGATCTTGGAAGCCTACAATGGCTTCCTCTTACCTCTGGTATCAAATTTCAGTTCTGAAAAGCTGGGTGTGGTGGTACAGGCCTATAATTGAAAGAGGCAGGAGGAGCATGAGTTCAGGCCAGCCTAGGATTCAGAGAAAGTTCAGGCCAGCTTGAGCCATATAGGAAAAGCCTGTCAAAAAAAAAAAATTCTTTTTTTTAGTTCTATATTTACCATCATTTAGAAAGAAACAAAGCAAACTTTAGGCCTAGAGATCAAAAGCCTGAGAAGAGTAATATAAATTGCTCAGGGTCACACAGCTGGGAAGACAGGAAATCCTGTGCTTCTGACACTGTCATCACAGTAGAGCAGAAAAGCAGTCCAGTCCTTTATCCTGGTCTACTCCAAGCTTGTACTTATAAACCGAGTTGGAAGACCAAGTCTGAGGCAACTCATTGTCTGTGGCAGAGTGGAAACGTGTCTAGAATGGAATGGCAAAATGTTCCTATCTTCTACTCCAGGGATGGCTACCAAAGACGATCATCAACCAGGTTTTATCACAGACCCAGATGGATTTTGCCAACCACCTGCGCAAGCGCCTGGAGTTCAGCCCTGCCTCTGAGGCCTGGCATTAGGGCCATCCTGCTGTTCTGCCACTGCATTGGCATGCATGCACATCAGGAAATCCCTGTGGGAACCTTGAAAACCTGTTCAAGATCTCATCTGATGACATTGGGGGCGGGAGGTGGTAGTTTTAGAGTAAGAGACCAGGACTCAGACTGGCAAAAGTTTTAGTACCAAGAAAATAGAGATGAGGCTCTTAGATAAAAGAGGAAGAAACTTCTCACTAGGTATTTGTTAAAACTTTCTTCCAGATCCTTGTATGTCCATCAAAAACATCTTAAAAATACTAGTGGCTGATACAGGTGAGGGTAATGGTAAGGAATGGGAGCTGCTGCCTTATGGGCTCAAGAACTCCATTCCCTGGGTGCCAGTGACTCACGCCTGTAATCCTAGCTACTAGAGAGGAAGAGATCAGGAGGATTATGGTTCGAAGCCAGCCTGGGCAAATAGTTTGAGAGACTCTATTTCAAGAAAGTCCATCACTAAAAAGGGCCAGTGGAGTGGTTCAAAGTGTAGGCCTTAAGTTCAAACTTCAGTACTGCAAAAAAAAAAAAAAGAAAGAAAAAAAGAACTCCATTCCCTATAGGCAGTACATGGTAGACAAAGCAGGTTCTTAGGCAGAGGTTCTAGTTGACCTTCTGCTCCTCTGACAAGAAGGCCCAAGGCTACACCAAGGAACAAGCAACTCCCCACAGTAGGCACCTTCTACTGTATATTCTGAGTTTTCTCTATGGAGAAATATAAAATGAATTAGGTTGGTTTTCTTCCTTATTCCATCAGCACCAGTCAGACTACAGAATCATAAATACCATGAAATGTAAGTGTTTAATACATGAGAACTTCAGTAAATTCTTAAAGAACTCTATAGCTGATAGCTCATTAATGGCCCTGGAAGATTACAACTGAGGACTTTTATTTACCCACTTAAAAGGGATGACAGTGCCAAATATGAAACTGGACAATTTTTACTAAGAGAAGGTTAACACTTCTATTATTTATGAGGCCAATTAGTAGTAAGAGAACCACACAGATGTCAACTTGGCTTGGAGTTGCCAACTTCTCTGCTTGAAAAGGTTAAAATTTTACCATTTGGGGAGAAGTGGCTGGAAGGGGGAATTGGTGATTGCAAATTCCTTTTTCCAGGATTCAGAGAAGTAATGCTCTAAAAATATAAACTGGAAGGCTGGGGGGAATGGCTCAAGTGACAGAGCACCTGCCCAGTAAAACTGAGGCCCCGAGTTCAAACCCCAACACTGCCAAAAAAAAAAAAAAAAGGACAGGGATTCCTTCACTATGTAGGAGAAACAACCAACCACTGCCATCTGAAGCTCTCCCATTCTAGTTTTAATAGCATTGATGATCTGCACCCTTTGGAAATAGAGTTCTACCTTATTTATGAACAAGATAGCAGTAGCAGGAGCACTGGTATTTATTGAGGTATTAAAATTTAACAACTCATATTTATTTTAATTTATTCTGAATGTTTCTCAGTCTGTTTTTGGCATAGATGAAATTGCTCTTTATCCAGGACCTTCAGAGTAGGGAAGACAGTTGTAGGAAAATATTTCTACAACAGATCATCAGCCACTACCAGCTAAAACAGTCACTTACTTAAAGACAAGGGAAAGTGACATGCACGCTAGTTTCAAGAGAACAGGCTGACAGTAAAGAAGTGAGCTTTCAAGAAACACCATGATTTTTAAACTGGATTATAATTTGCTCCTTCAAACTATGTAACTTTGTGGTGTCTGGGGAGATACTTCTCTACTTATTTAATTTTACATCTGAATAAAACAAGTTGTCATTAGTGATCTGATTACAAGAACTGTTATTTATATAAGATGAGATGGGGAGTAGATATTCTTCAAGCATTACAAATGAAACTTACTCATGCATGTACATGCTTGCTCTATTTCACTTGCTTTTTTGGTGGAACTGGCTTTGAACTCAGGGCTTCAAGCTTGCAAAGCCAGCACTCTACCGCTTGAGCCACATCTCTCTTCCTTTTTTAAATATGAAGTATTAAAAAATCAGTTTCTGTAACTGTTGTGGTACTAGGGTTTGAACTCAGGATGTTGTGCTTGCTAGCCAAGTGTTTTTCTACAAGGTGAGCTATGCCTCCAGCCCTTTAAATTTTGGTTATTTTTTTAATAGGGTCTTGCATTTTTGCCCCATTTACATCTCAATCATAGCTAAGGTGACAGGGAGTGCCACCACATGCACCTTTTTATTTGTTGAGATTGGGGAGGGGTCTAACTTTTTGCCCAGGCTGGCTTAGAACCTCAATCCTCCTGTTCTCCACCTCCTGTAGCTGGCATTACTAGTGTAAGCCACCATAGCTGGCGATAACCTTTAATTTATGAAGGCTAAATATACAAATACCTAATTTTATAATTTAAATCAAAAGTGGGTGTACAATGTATATGTAATAATTTATATTACAAAGAACACACTTCTAGGGCTGGCGGAGTGGCTCATGTGGTAGAGCACTTGCCTAGCAAGCACAAGGCCCTGAGTTTAAATCCCAGTACCACCAAAAAAAACTTAAAAAAAAAAGAATTTACCTCTAGCTTCCTCTAAATAACACGACCCTTGCTTTCTTGGGAGTCCTTCAAAACACTGGTGATGTTTTATAACATGGTTTGTCCTTTTAAGACCAGTCCATACATTAGTAGGTGTCTAGAATCTGATAGGCTGAGACCCCAGACTACAATCTCTCTGATATAGTTAGGGTCCCTGTTAAGATATAAAATGGACAAAATAAGAAGTCCAAGTGATTCATTAGGAGACAAACATATTAGTCAAAGGTACTGTACTACGATAACAACATTCACTTGAAATTTGGGAAATGTCTATACAGAGAAAGGAAACTAAGATACTCAGAAGAGCAAAGACATGATAAACAGTGATTCTGTGGCAACAGAATACCTAGTTCCTGGTGAAACACGACTCTGCCTGTTAACCTAGGTAGAAGGTCACTGGGCAATGAAGCAGTCACTGGGCAATCTTGAGGGGCTGCATTTGCCACAAGTCTGATGAGTTAAAAAAGAGAGGATCTGGCTGCCAGTGGCTCACACCTATAATCCTAGCTACTTGGAAGGCTGAGATCAGGAGGACTGAGGTTTGAGGCCAGCCCAAATAGTTCGTAAGACCCCATCTGCAAAATAACCAAAGCAAAATGGACTGTAATTGTGGCTCAAGTGGTGGAGTACCTGTTTTGCAAGCACAAAGCCCTGAGTTCAAACCCTAATCCCACCAGAAAGAGAGACAGAGAGAGAGAGACTGAGATTCCCAAGGAAGGTTCATTCTTATCTTCTAGTTTTCAGGCTTCTGAGAAACTGCACTGTATTTATTTATTGGCAATACTGAGGTTTGAACTTGGGGCCTTGAACTTTTTTTACACTATTGGGGCTTGAACTCAGGGCCTACACCTTAAGCCACTCCACCAGCCCTTTTTTGTGAAGGGCTTTTTTGAGATAGGGTCTCAAGAACTATTTGCCCAGGCTGGCCTCAAACTGACATCCTCCTGATCTCTGCCTCCTGAGTAGCTAGGATTATAGATGTGAGCCACTGGTGCCCAGCAGGGTTGTGCACTTTCTAGGCAAGTGCACTGCCATCTGATCCATGCTTCCAGACATGAAAAACTGCACTTTTAGTCATCAGCTATACATAAAGAAAAATAAAAAAAAAACAACCTGCAGCCTGAAGGTGTGGCTCAAGCAGTATAGTACCTGCTTTGGAAACACAAAGTCCTAAGTTCAAACTCCAGACCCAGCAAAAAAAAAAAGATGTCAACACCATGTTCAAGAAGAAGAGCTAAAGGGAACTATTCACCCTTTTAAACTCTTCTCACCAACTCGAGTTTCCAATTTTCACAGGCCAATGAGATTGGGAGCAAAGGAGAGGGTTAGGACAAAAACTGTTTCTTCCTTCCTGTGCTACCCACACTTCTGACTCCATCACGAAGAACTCAATCTGAAGGGAAGCCAAGTGACACACAAACTTGAAACCAAGTTTTACTGGAGAAGAATTCTAACTCTGCTAAAGCCACAGGCAAGTTCTTTTCAAAATTACAGTTCTAGAGACCAAGTAGTTTGAGAGATTCCCCAAACCCCATACCAAAAGGAAAGAGCTTTTAGATTGGTTTGGAATGGATAGCCACTGATTTCAGTTCTTCTCAGAAACAGGCCCACCATCTTCATGGAAATCAGGTGGGACAGAGTCAATGCCCATGGAAAGAAATGTCTTTAAATAAGTTAGTGCTTGGACAAGATTATTCACTTGTTACCTTACCTTAGAAAACACAGTAAGGTAACAAGTTCCACCTGGCAGGGATGTGGTGCAGCACCAGTTTCACAAGGAGTTTATGGGATCCTGGGGTCAGCAGCTGTTGGCTATGACACACAAAGTAAGACCAGTCACTGGAAGTGGGGAGGGAATTCTGAAGGGTAGAGGGTTTCCCACAGTCCGATCCAGCCTTTTTTAACCTGCTGAAAGTGGGCTGTTTTTGTAGAATCTTTGGGAGAACATTTGATAGTAAAAAACAAACAAAAAAAGCCCAGTGGCACTCCCCAGAAAGTCCATACAGAAAGAAACTGGTCAAGGTTCCCAGGGAGGGCTGCGCCTCCCATCCACTTCTGTCTCCACATGATACAAGACATCAGCCAGCGTGTGCTCTACCACAGCTCCCCAGCCCATGTCGCTCATCTGCAAGAGGAACCAAAACAGGAAAGCAGGGAGATTACAATAGCCACAGCAAGAAACACATGCTCAAGACGTATGTAGACACTTTAATGTTACTCACGGGGTGGTAACTGAGATCCTTCGGAGGATACTTGAAGCATGGTCCAAAATTAATGGAAACCTGGAGCAAATTCAATTCAAGTAGACAAAGAGAAAGAAATGAAAGAAAAAAAACACTGAAAAGTTAAATTTTTTCTCTCCAGTACTGGGAATTGAACTTAGGGCACTGTGCTTACTAGGTAAGCATTCTAACACTTGAGTCAAGCCCCTAGTCCTTTTGCCTTTTGTTTTCCAGATAGGGTCTCCTAGTATCTTTTGCCCAGGCTGCCTCCTGAGTAGCTAGGATTACAAGTGTGTACCACCATATCCAACCCTCTTCCTATCCTCCCGTTTTTTTTTTTTTTTCAGAGACAGGGTCTTGCTATGTAGCCCAGGCTGGCTTTGAACTCACAATGCTCCTGCCTCAGTCACTATGCTTGGCTGAAAAGTTAATTTGGTATGGGAAAATTTTCACTTTAAATGTATTTATGAGCCAGGCATGGTGCATGCCTATAATCCAGCTCTTTGGAGGTTAAGTCAGAAGATCATGATTTTGAGGTATCCTGAGCTACATAGTGAGTTTGAGGATGACCTATATAGAAAGACCCTGTCTCAAAAGACAAAAAAGGAGCTGTGATACTTAGGTTATAACAGGAGCAAATGAGACTATATATTAATATTGCTGAAAGTGGTCAATTTTCTAATGTTCACCAAGAATTAGGTAGAAATAGGCCTGTTTCGATTTCAGTGTAAAACCTAAAGATTTCTTTACCTTCTTTAATGGGGCTAATGATAGACTCAAAAGCTTAGTGTATATTTACAGTGATATAAATATCACTGTATGATATTTATCTTTTCAAGCAAACCCCCAAGTGTTTTTTGACCTAACAGTAACAACAGCAGCATCCATGTCACTCTGAGGCTATTCTGCTTTCTTTCTAGAACTCAGTGACTCTTTTATTATAACCCTTTCACACAGGTCCCTCAAGTTCTGTGCACAGGATGAACACAGGGTACGTACCGTGCAGCTCTTGTACAGTGAGATGGCCGGAAAGTAAACTCCCTCAAAAATATCTTTGTAAGCCACACCTTGATTGACACCATTTTTATAAAATATTATCTGAAACAAAAATCATGGTTTTACTTCATAATTTAAAAAAAAGAAAAACAAAGAATTCACTTGGAGGACACTTAAGCAGTGATGCTACCAGACTGACCATAATGTATTTGTTCCAAGAACAGAATATAGCTTGTGAAATAACAGCATCTTAAGTTTGTGTACTAGTTTAGATTTTTCAAAGTGAAATCTATGTAAACATGCACTACTCTCGTTGATTTCAAGTTTTCTATTTGCTTTCTGAATTCGCATGTTACATATACCAACAGTTCTACGTTCTGTTATTCATTCTATAGTTTTTATAAGAAACAAGCTGACCTTCCGTGGATCCTGTGGAACTACCCTACTTAGCTTGCTTATTTATTTCTGTATCTTTCCCTTTCATCAAGTTCTTACTTCTTGCTTTTTTTCACTTAGAATTTCTCTTACAGTCTTCTGTCATAGTCTCTGAATCCTCATTTTCTTTTTCTTTTTCTCCCATAATTATCCTAACTATTCTCTTAACCCACTACATAGACAAATATATGAACAGTCTTCAGAAAAGACTCTTCTCTTGCCAGCAGGAGCTATCTCCTCCCTGGCTATGTTTTGTGGCTAGATCATCCTTGGTCCATTAACTATTTCCCCTTTACATGTTTTATTCCCTAAATACAACTTTAATTCTAGTTTATTTATCTTCTACTTCTTTCTATTACTATTGTAGGGGGCTTTACATCTTTATGGAAAAATGTTTCCAGCTCAGAACTTTGTTCTTCCCTGCTCCCTCCCTCCTCTCCTTTGACTTCTGGCCCTTCATTGGATTGTGTCCAATGAAGGGCTGACATTGGTGTCAGCCTTCTTGGATTGTGCTACAACCTTGGGCTGGGCAGTCAAGCTCCCTGGGAAGGGGATGCAGGGAGAATTCTAGAGACAGAGTAAGTCATCCCAGTCCCTGGTACTCTGGGTCACACAGTAAGATCTCCTCCTCCCCCATCATGTTCCTTCCTCTGTATCTCCTGATAAAGAAAAAGGATACCGGACTTGCTTCTTCAGTGTCCTACGTGGTTCCTTATGAAGCCACTCTCTTTATACCTTTTTCTCTACAGTGTTCTGGACAGAACACTATCATGTCTCTAATAGCTTCACCATTGTACCACAGAGAGAGCACATTATCAGTAGGCAGAATTGTGAGCTTGCTCAGCTGCCAGCTAGCTGTGTTTACTCAAAAACCTCTTTTATTGTCATTTGCCTCCTTTTGTCATTAAGGGCAGGTCTCAGTCTTCAAAGCTTTATAATTCTGTTTTTATGACCATGACTCACCTCACTGTGGGGAGTCTGCTTAGGCTCTTCTCTGCTTTATCCACAAAGTCTTTTTCCTCAAAATACAAATAACTCTTGAACTTTATCAAAGCCTTGAAAACCCAGAAAAAAAAAAAGACAATTAAGGCATCAGCAGCATCATCATGGAGAAAATCAAGTCAGAGTCACACAAATAGCACAGAGTCCTTGTGCTCTACAACAGAATCAGAAATGTCTGCCATTCAGTTTTGTCAGATTTTGGACAACTATGTCCTTCTTTAAAAGACCAGCAGCCATCTTTGCTAAACATTTCTTAAAAAGACCCTTAGAAGGAAAATTTGTGAGGATATAGATACATATAAATAAATATGCTCAACAGTAAAAAAATGCCCATAAAACAAGCTAAATTAATTCATACGCTTTCCCCAATAATCTCAGTGAAATGAATGACTATTTCATAGAGCCTAAAACTCTTTAGTCTATAACTTTTTCTCTTCTGGGGGACAGGGTCTTACCATGTAACCCAGGCTGGCCCCAACCTTTCCTAAGGCCTCCATCTCCCGAGTGCTGGGAATACAGATGTGCAGCACCACACCTGCCTGTAACAATATTTTGAGGGCCACTTTCCTCTCTCAGTTTTCTTTTTCTCCCATTGATGACCGTTGGGTCACCTCTTTCTTCCTGGGATGTCCCAAGAGTCTATTTAACAATTCAGCCTCAAATAAAAATAATTTAGTTTCTTAGCCATATACACGCATTAAAAAAATTTTCATTAGCTATATAAACAAGCATAATGAGGACTTTCTCTCCCTCATGTATCACTCTCAGATCCCCTTGTAAAAATCAATCACTATAAGAGTATCCTGGTATTATTTCTAAAAATCTAGTGTCTCCAAAATTAAGACACCCACAAAAAATACACACAACAGATAAGAACAAGAAAAAACATGCCATACATAGTCACATATTATAAATTTTGTTTTACATCTTGAATTTTTCATTCAACGATATACAGTAGAGACTATTTTGTATCAGTATATACGAGGCTTTTGAACAGATCTGCAGTATTATTATTTTGGGGCGGGTAGGGAGGGTGTTTGGTACTGGAATGTGAACTCAGGGCCTTCGGCTAACATTACTAGGCAGATGCTCTGCCATTTGAGCCGTACTCCCAGGCATTTTTCACTTTAGTTACTTTTCAGGTAAGTTCTCTTGATTTTCTTCTAGCTAGCCTTGGACTGCGATCCTTCTAGATTCCCAAATAGCTAGAAACATCAGCATGTACCACCATGTCTGGCTTACTGATTGAGATAAGAGTATTGCTAACTTGTTGCCCAGGCTGACCTTAAACTCAACCCTCCTAATCTCTACCTCCCAAGTAACTGGAATTATAGGCATCAACCACAGCAACAGGCTAGATCCATAGTATTCTGTTGCATAAACACATTGCTAACAGATTATTAATTAAGTAAAAACAAATGTTCATAATATAAATAAAAGAGTAATTTTAAAGATTCCAACAGTATCCTCTGAGGTTACTGTAGACCTCTGTGTTCTGTAACTCAAGAATTACTGTGGTATACATTTTAGAGCTCCTGACAGCAGGATATGCTATGAGTCAATGGTGTGGTGTAATTAGTAAAATGAGATCTTGGCTAGGGGTGTAGTTCAGTGGTAGAATACTTGCCTAGCACATACAGTGCCCTGGGTTTAATCCCTAGCACTACAAAAAATAATGTAAAATAAAGTGAGAAACTTAAGTAAAGTTACAATCTGTACATAAAAGACAACAAATACATCACTGGAGCCGGGTGCCAGTAGCTCATGTCTGCAATATCCTAGTTACGCAGGAGGCAAAGATCAGTAGGATTGTAGTTTGAAGCCAGCCCCGGCAAATAGTTTTCAAGACCCTATCTTGAGAAAAACCATCACAAAAATAGGACTGGTGGAGTGGCTCAAGGTGTAGAGCTGAGTTCAAACCCCAGTACTGAAAAAAAAAAAAAAAAAATCACTGGAATACAGAGTAAAGAAATAAATCCTCTACTTGTATGGTCATTTGATTTTCATTAAAAGCACCAAAGAAATCCAGTGGAGAAGGGAAAGAGATTAACAAATAGTACTGAAAGAACTGGATATTCCTATGGGAAAAAAAAAAAAAACCCGTGACTTCCACACCACACACAAAAATAATTCAAGGTGGATCAAAGACTAACTGTAAAAGTTAAAAGTCAGCTTTCAAAGGAAAACATTGACTTGAGGGTATCCAAAGATTTGTAAGTCACAGAGATAAAGAAAGAAAGAAAAAAAAAAAAAAACATAAAAGAAAAATCTAGCCAGGCACGGGTACACAAACCTGTAATCCCATCTGTAGCAGGAGGATTGAAAGTTCTAGGCCAGCTTGGACTACCTAGGAGACCATGTCTCAACAATTCCCCCCACCCTCCGCACACAACAAAAAAAGAAAAACCTGACAAATTAGATTTCAAAAAATTTTAGCTTGGTTCATCAAAAGACACCATTAAGAAAATGAATAGAAGGGCTGTAGGTAAGGCTCAGAGAGCCTGCCTAGTGAGCACAAAGCCTTGAATTTAAATTCCTGTACCAAGACAAGACACAGAATAGGATAAAATACTTTTAAAATATCGTATCTGGCTGGGCACTGGTGGCTCATGCCTGCAATCCTAGCTACTCAGGAGCAGAGATCAGGAGGACTGTGGTTCAAAGCCAGCCTAGGTAAACAGTTCACGAGACCCTATTTTATAAATAGCCAACACAAAAAGGGCTGGCAGAGTGACTCAAGTGGTAGAGTGCCTGCCTAGCAAGCAGGAAGCCTTAGTACAAATTTCAGTACTACTAAAAACAACAAAAAATACCATATCTGAGAAAGAACTATAATCTAGAACATATAAAAAAAACTCCTACAAACAGTAAGATAAACAAACTTAGAAAGAAGCAAAACATCTGAACCCGATACTTCACAAGATAGATGAATGGCCAATCAGTACATGAAGAATGTTCACTATCATTAGCCAGCAAAGAAATACAAGTTAAGCCACAATGAGATACTACTACACGTCCATCAAACTGCCTACAGTTAATGTTGACAGACAACAGACAAAACGGGCACACTGGCACCTAAACATTCATATGTTGTTGGGGGAATGGAGTCTGGTATTTTTTATAAAACTAAATATATAACTACCCTGTGATACATTCTTATATACTGGTCCCTCCCAAAACTCAAAAAATGTTCATAGAAGACTTGTACAAGGATGTTCACAGCATCCTTATTCATAGTAGCCCTAAATGTAAAACAGCCCCTGCCAATTCATAGGACAATTGATAAACATACTGTGGTACATTCATGCAATGGTATACCACCCTGTAGTAAAAAGGAATTATAGATCTGTGCAACAATACAGATCACAAAAGGTACGTAAATTTAAGAACAGGCAAGAACTAAACAATGTGAGAAAAAAAACCTACTATGGGGTTAGGGATGGGGACTCACTGGGGAAGGCCAAGAGAAAACTTCCTGGGCTGATGTTAAGGGTATACTTTTTTTTTTTTCCCCTTCAGTACTGGAGTTTGAACTCAAGGACTTGTACTTCCCAGGTAGGCGTTCTACCACTTGAGCCAGGTTCCCCAGTCTTTTATGATTTAGTTACTTTTGAATGGGGTCTCCAATTTACACCTGGGCCAGCCTGAACTGCAATCTTATTTACACTTCCTACACAGGCTGGGATGATAGGCGCACATCACCACGTTCAGCTTTCTGTTGATTGAGATAGGATCTGAAAACACTTTTTGCAGGGTGTGGCCTAGAACCTCGATCTTCCCAATCTGTCTCCCGAGCAGGTAAGATTATAGGCTTGAGCCGCCACACCCTGGCTTAAGAGTATACATCTTGAAACAATTTAAGCTCAACTTCAAAATTCAGGGCTGGCTGAGTGGCTCAAGTGTACAGTGAGGGTCTAGCAACTGTGAACCCTCAGTTCCATCCCTAGTACCACCAAAAAAAAGAAAAAAAAAAAGCTCAAACTCAAAATTCAGAGCATGTACACTTAAAATTTGTGTATTTCATTTTAAATCAATTTTATATCAAAAGAAAAAACTAAAACAGGGTGGCACTCTAGCTAATGATACATATCTTAAAATACTTACACGGGAAGTAAACTGACATTACTGTCTTATTTGTAGTACATAAAAAGGAAGGATGGGGGGCTGGAGGCCTGGCCCAAGTGGTAAAGCATCTGCTATCAGGTACTAAGCCCTGAGTTCAAACCCTAGTACCACAAAAAAGAAAAAAAAGGAAGAATGAATGGACATGTTAATAGTAGAATCTAGATCATGAGTACCCAGGCACTGATTCTAAACTCTCTCAATTTTGTTATCTCTGCAAATGTTTACAATGAGATATGGGAGAACAAGAACTACGGGTCAGCATCAAGGGAACACACGGGCTACAACTACAGGTCTTTAAAGCCAGGAATTCCTTGGGGGAGAACAAGCTCACCTTATCTTTGTAAGTATCAGGCAGTGACTTGGCCGTCTCTGTGTCTTCAGGAAGATTGATATAAAATCCCAGGACGTCTCCTTGCCCATAGCCAGAAGAGTAGTGTTTGCCAATAGACTGATGGAACTTGGTTCCTTTTTTGCTCCTCCAAGAATAGCTAAATTTATCATAACCCAAAGGAGCTTGAAGGTTACCTGTCCCAATAATAGAGATTCAAGTCAAGAGGACTGAAGTCAAAAGGATTCTACTCCTTTTTATTTTACATTTTTGTCAATTCGTTAGATTTAAGTATTTGAGGAATAACTTCCAGGAATTACAAAACAGCTAAACCTACACGTTAATTTTATGCCCATTATCTGGTAAACTCAATAGCCTTAAAACCTAAGCCAGATGGTTCTAAATCTCTCTACCTACTGTGCTGTCCACCTTCTGGGCCCAGCTTACCTAAGGGCTGCGACCAACCCAGTCTGGCAGCAGTGTCTGGAGGCATGTCATCAACAGTGACTTCAAAATACCAGGCACCTTTCCGCACCCCGTGGGAGGCCCGCACCATGGAGTAGCCTTTCTCGCCAACTACGGTCAGCCGGTCATCAGAGATCTTCAACTGGGGAGCTGCAGTAGTACAGATTGAAACAGAGGCCTGCAGTCTATTTGAGATACTTGGAGACATCAGTACCTTACACTCCACTAAGATAACATAAAAAGTGAGAATATCAGGTTAGGTGTTTAAAACGTTAGTTCAAGAGTCTAAAATTCTCAACATAAGGTACGGACAAAGTAGTGAGAGAGAGAAAAAGAAAGCTGTTAGGTCATTTAGTTTTTATTAAATGTGATTATATTTAAGATGACAGGTTAAAATTAATTGTACTACATATTCTCTAAAAACACAACAAAGCAATTACAATATGTTTAGGTCCTGATTTGAATTAATCAACCTTTAAAAGATTTAACTTTTTAAGCATGGATATAGCTCAGTGGGAGAGTGCTTATTTAGCATGCACAAGGCTGTAGGTTCAATCCCTAAGCACTGCAAAAAGGGGAAAAAAATTCATTTTTAAAATCTTTTTGGTAGTATTGGAGATTGAACTCAGGGCCTCATGCTTGTTAGGAAGGTGTTCTACTACCTGAGCCACTCCACCAGCCCTTTTTTTGTGTGTTGGGTATCTTTAAGACAGGGTCTCATGGACTATATGCCTGGGCTGGCTTCCAACCACAATCCTCCTGATCGCTGCCTCTCAAGTAGCTAGGATTACAGGTGTGAGCCACCTGTCACCTGAGTTAAAAAATTTGATTTTTTAAATCTTAACACCATTTCATACTTTTAAAGATAGTTAGAAGCCAGTTGCAGTGGCCTATATTTGTGGTCCCAGCTACTCTGGAGTCTGAGGTAGGAAGATCACTTGAGTCTAGGAGTTCAAGGCCAGACAACATATTGACACTATCTCAACAACAGAAAAGTGCAGGCTCGGTGTCTCAAACCTGTAATCCCAGTTTCTCAGGAGTCAGAAATTGGGAGGATAGAAGTTTGAGGCCAGCAGAGGCAAAAAATTTGGTAGACCCCATTTCTACAAAAAAGTTAAGTATAATGGTACACAACTGTCACTCCAGCTATGGGGGAAGTATAAATAGGAGGAGTGCTAGCCAGGCTGGCCTGGTCATAAACTTGAGACCCTACTTCAGAAATAATCAAAGCAAAAAGGGCTGGGGGGTGTGGCTCAAGCAGTAGAGTGCCTGCCTAGCAAGCAAGAGGCCCTGAGTTCAAACCCCAGTACTACCAAAAAAAAAAAAGGAAAGGAAAGAAAATGTGGTACATATATACAGAGTATTATTCAGCAACGAAGAAGAATAAATGAAATTATGTCATTTGCAGGAAAATGTACGGAACTATAGATCATCATGTCAAGTGAGATAAGCCAAGTTCAGGTGCGTGTTTTTTGTTCATATGCAGAATCTAGACCAAAAAAAACCCCAATATAACATGATTATAAAAGGGAGATTGGTTGGGGAGGAACCAGCAGCCAACAGAAACAGAGAACGATGGAAAGAGAGGATGACAAGGGTGTGTGTGAATATAATGAAGTTCATACATATATAAAAAATATAATGAAACCCACTAAGAACTGTTAAAAAAGGGGCAGAGGAAGGAATTGGTTAATAAAGAGTAACAGAGGGGTAAATTCAATCAAAGTACATTATATACACGTATGTAAGTATTACAGTGAAACCCTCTGTACAATTAATATACGCTAATAAAAATTTTTAGAATTGTCCTGTATGCCCTTTAGTGAGTTTCCCCAAATATTTATCATCTAACCATAACACAATCATCAAAACCAGAGAAGTGCTACTCAAGAGGCTGAGGTAGGAGGACCACTTGAACCCAGAAGTTTGAGGCCAGCCTGGGCAAACCAGTGAGACTCCATATCAAAACAGCAACAACAAAAACCCCCAAACAAATCCGGAAAATTAACACAGATTCAATACTAGTAACTGACCTATATATCATCTTCAAATTAAGCCAAATGCCAAATACTCTTATTTCTGGTTCAAATTCTAACTCAACATTGTTTTTTGCTTTTGTTTTGTGGTACCTGGATTTGAACTCAAGGTCTACACTTTCAACCACTCCACCAGCCCTTTTTAGTGATGGGCTTTTTTGAAATAGGGTCTCTCAAACTATTTACCCAGGCTGGCTTTGAACCGTTAACACTTCTGATCTCTTCCTCCCTAGCAGCTAGGATTACATGCAAGAGCCACCAGCACCCGGCCTAACTCAACATTGTTAAATGTTGCATTAGGACATTATCCAATCTAAGAAGCAATTAAAGGGCCTACCTTCCCACAAAACTCTGCAATTACAAAGGGGAAGAGTAATTTTACAGTGGATAAACCTTGCAAACACCATCTTAGTAAAGTGAACAAAGTGACTATCATCAGCAGTGGGACAGATGATAGGATGCAGGTAAAGAACTCAGCTCACTTCTGTGATAGTACTGTCAAAGAGGCATGACCTGAATTATAAAAAACTAAATAAACCTAAACTGAGGGATGCCTTATAAAATAATTAGCCTGTAATTTGCAAAAGCATCAAAGTCATGAAAGTGTAGGAAAGATGGAGAAACTATTGCAGACTGAAGATATCTTATGAAGTATGACAATTAAATGCAGCAAACAATTCTCAAATGGATCTTTGCTTCTAAAGGACATCATTGGATAAAGTGGAGAAATTTGAAAAGGATGTACAGATTATATGATAGTAATGAGATGTTAATATCTGCATTTTGATGGTATATTCTAGTTCTATAAAAATGTAAGATTTAAAAAAAAATATTCACAATTCTTTTATGAGATGGAGCTCAATTTCCTACCACTTGAGTGTGGACTGGACTTACTGACACATTTCTGACAAATAAAATAATGTCAAGGGATGGGTAATATGATAGGGTATGTGCTCAGTATGTAGGAGGTGCTGGATTTGATCCCCAGCACTACATAAATAAAACTGAAAGCACAGCAAACTCTTTGCCCTATCTTAACTCACTTACTTAGGGATCACAGTGGAATATCATGAAGCTATTCAAAAGGAAAACAGGGTTGGCAGAGTGGCTCACCATGGTAGAACGTCTGCCTAACAAGCCTGAGGCCCTGAGTTCAAGCCCGAGTATCACCACCAAAAAAAAAAAAAAAAAAAAAGTAATTAAAAATAAGAAAACAGGAAAAAGAATAATCTCTTTGAACTGTATGGAGTACCTGCATGGAGCATGCTGCTCTTTATGTATGAACACAAGCTAAAAGAATACACCTGTACCTGTGAAGAAGCAGCACAGAGAAGATAAACTAAAACCAGGGAGTTGGAGAGAAAAAGGAAGGCATGAGGACGAGGTAGTAAGGATGAGGAGGGGCGACACTAAGAAAAAGGTCTTTGTCTACTTCTGACTCAAAGTCATGGTGATATTGTCCATACTATCCTAAGCACACATGTGCATGATGAAGGAGAACCCAAAATGGTATCACATACTAACAAGTGAAACCTATCTGACCATCACACACCAAAGAAGTGAGGAAGAAAAGAACTAATGGAAGTTCACAGTATCTTGGCTGGATACTGAGCTAAAGTCAGAAAGATCAGTACATAAATGCTGTGATCACTTAGAAAATGTTTATCACAGGAGTGGAGTGATATCCTTCTTTTTGAGGCAAAAAAAAAAAAAAAAAAAAAAAACTGCCTTCAAACTCTTGACCTTTCTGCCTCAGTCTCCCAGGTGCTGGAATTACAGGTGTGTGTGCCACCATGACCTGCTAGTTGTATCCTTTTTTGGTTTTGGTGGTACTGGGATTTAAATTCTGAGCCTTACCCTTGCTAGGCATGCATTCTTACTGCTTGAGCCGATCTGCCAGCCCTTTTTTGTGTTGGGTGTTTTCGAGATATGGTCTCACAAACTACTTGCCTGGGCTGGCTTTAAACTACAATGCTCCTGATCGCTGCCTCCTGAGTAGCTAGGATTATAGGTGTGATCAACCAGACCCCAGCTAGTTGTGTCCTTTTGACAAACTTCTTTCTGTGTGTGTATGTTGCTAGGTTATGAACCCAGGGCCTCATGCGCAGTCGGCAAGTACTATATCACTGAGCTACAACCCTAGTTCCCCCCATTTTTAAAAAAACTACTTCCTTACTTTCTGGCATCACAAGATGTTCCTGGCTATTATATCTTCTGAAACTCCTCTACATGGCTATTAGAAATGAACAAATTAAGTAAGTACATTGTAGATAATTATCTATAATCATCCAATCATCTCTCTAATTAGTCAGGTTTCCCACTTCTGAAAAAATAAGTTACAACTAAGTAAAAGGGGAAGATTCAAATGAACCCTCCTGTGGTGTCTGGAGTTACAGGTATCAATATAAATTCAGTGTAGCCATATGTTTATCTGTATGTTAGTACAAACATACCTATTTCCTGCCTCTGACCTCTGATGGAGTCTAGAAGCACTGACACCCAGGGACAATACGCATACCAATATGGTTTGGATGTGGTTTTGAGTATGTCCTCCAAAACTTCATGTGCTTGGTCCCTGTGCAGTGATATTAAGGTGGTGGAACCTTTAAAGTGGTGGAACCTCATGGGAGGTAATCAAATCATGGGGGTACTGCCCTCAAAAAAGATTAATGCAGGTCTTGTGAGATAAGATTAGTTTCTAAGAGAATGGGTTATTATAAACCAAAGTTTGGCTGTGTTGGCTCACTCTTTTTGCTTGTTTCCTGTCTTGCTACATGATCTCTCCCTCTGGTACATACTTCCACCATGACACCATCTACCGTTTTATGAAATAGCCTGAAATCTCACCAGAGCCAAGCAGATGCCAGCACAATACTCTTCTTGGACCTCCAAAACCATGGGCTAAAGAAACCTCTTTTCTGGATTAAGTGCTCCACTCAGGTATTTTCTTATTGAATACAAAACAGACTAAGATAATACTTAAAAACACCTAGAGCTTAATTTCTAAACACCATCTTCTAATCATAGGAAACCAACGCTCCAACACTGGTGTGGGGTGTGGAAAATGCAAGATTAGCCAGAAATATGGGATGCTAGAAAGGAAGTGGTTAAAAAAAAAATGAAGCTTATCAAAAGAATACAAGAAGCTAGGCACTGGTAGCTCACACCTGAAATTCTAGCTATATGGAAGTCTAAGATCAGGACAATGGCGGTTCAAAGCCAGCCTGGGCAAATAGTTTACCAAACCCCATCTCCAAAATAACCAGAGCAAAATAGACTAGATGAATGGCTCAAGTTGTACAGTGCCTGCTTTGCAACCACGAGGCCCCGAGTTCAAATTCCATTCCCACTAAAGCAAACAAACAAACAGAACTTGAAGAAGGTTTAAATGCTCAAAGCTAGAATTTATACAACAAACTAATCAAAGTACTGGATTATGCCCTACTCAATAAAATAAACATCTATGAGTCCATACTAATATAAATGATCAAATATACGAAAGAAAAAAAAATCACAGTAACAATTGAGTGCTAAACCAGTAAACAAAACTTTATGAAAAAACACATTATTTGCATAGCCTCAAAGTATTTTCCCCAAGATATTTATTGACTACAAAGGGAAAGACAGTAACTTTAAGTGGAGAAGCCAGCAGAACCACCTTAACTAAATACTGCAGTCGGCACAACCAACAAGACATATCAACACAGGAACCACATGAGATGATGCAATGAGAAGGAATAATTTCTGTTACTCTTCCCCATCCTATGTAATTTCAGTCTAATCATAAGAAAACATTAGATAGACCCTCACTGACCAACATCTGACAAATAACCCAATTAATGCCTATAAAAAGTCCATGATCATGAAAGACAAACAATGGATAATGAATTGTTGAAGATGTTAAAAGACTGCAACAAGACTAAGGAGAAAGAACTAGACAAACTAAATTAGTTTGTTGTGATGTGGGATCCTAGGGAAAAAAGTGGAAACACTGATGAACTTTAGTAAGGTCTTTAGCTTCATTAATACTGGTTGAGTACAGGAAACCAAACGTGCTTCTGACTTTGCAGATTTTCAGATTTTGGAATATTCGAATATACTTTATTAGCTGAACATCCCTATTACAAAAGCTGTAAACCTAAAGTGCTCTGAAATCCAAAAATCTTTTTGAGTAACATGTTGGCACTCAAAAGATTTTGGATTTCTCATTTTCGGGTTAGGGAGGCTATTTACCAATTTAATAGTGTTTACCAATTTTAATAGTATTACAGTTTTGATTAACTACACTATGGTTGTATAAGATGTTACCTTTAGGAGAAAAGCTTCATGAGAAAAATTCTGTTTAACATTTTGCAACTTTACTGTAAATTTAAAATCAGTTCAAAATGAAAAGTTCCTAAAAACATATGCACATGTGTATAAAAAGTCTGAAACTTAAAACAAAAGACAGAGATGGAAATTATTTCCTATGTATTCTTGCTGAATCTGGTTAGAGCTCAGGGGTGGGGCAGTGGAACAGACTGAGATGTATATCTACTCCTAGACTGGACAAAGCTGCTGACTGCAGTTCAAAGTAACCGTGGTTCCACGTGATCATTATTATCTTACCCACCTCGATCATGGAGAGCTAACAAAACTCGTTCATACAAGCAGGCTCTGTAAAGGTCTCCAGGAATAGGTTTTCCTGCCCAGCAGTCAAGTTCAAGCTTCTCAGGATCAGGGGCGTGGGGATCAGGCTCAGCTAGAATATACCGATAGCCATCTTTGTTGAATGGGTGTTCCAAAGGGTAGCCGTGAGGGGGAAGACGCTGAGCAGAAAACAAAGGATCACTGAAAAAAGGAAAATAATTAAAATCAAGAACCTGAAATCACTTTGGGTTCAAATGCACTCTAGTCTGTAAGAAAAGTCCGATTTACTAAATTTCAGTTGGAGAACATGCAACTTCATAACAAGTGCTTTTCCTATCTCAAATAGATTATTGCCCTCTGCAGACAAAACAGGGAAACTTTATCTGGCAAAGTAGTTTTGGTTAAATTGACTGTAGTCTGTAGGCACTGACAATTTAAGCATGATCTGTGGTCAATGAAATTGAGCTAGTACATATTAGAGGAGAAAAGGAGAACAGGAACAAGGGTGATTTTCTTTAGTACATTTACTATGTAAACTAATGAGCAGAAGCTCAGGTATGAGCACTTACTATCTGCTTCCAGTCTAAATAAGAAGTGACCTGGATTTCATAATTAAACAAAGGGGAAAGGAAGAGGCATGAGGGGCAGGGGCAGGAAGTTAAGGAGCTAATATTTACTCCTTCTTCCCCATCTATACTTTCTCAAAGTGTCAGAAGGGAACTTTATTCCCCAGACTTATCACCAGATGCTGCTGCTGTCCTGGGGTTTGTTTTTATATAACAAGTTCATAAAATAGGATACCTAGGCTGGGGTTGTTCTATCCCTCAAGGGAATCAAGGCTGTGAAAAAATGGATAGGCTTTTTAGTCTCAGCCACGAGCTACTGCAGAGTATGGTTCTTTCCCTTCTGGTAGACTTTGACAGCACCAAATGCTCAAAGCGTGGGTGGGGTGGCTGTTCTTCCCACCTCCGGGCCTTCTTGGTGGTCCCTGTGGTCCCGCCATCCTGCTGCTTGCGCTTAGCTCCTCTTCCTTTTCCACTGCTTCCTGCTGTGATTCCCCCTTTGAAGAGATGGCAGATGACTCTCACTGAACTGAGATGGAAGCACCTCATGGATTCCACAGGGACTAACACACCCAATGTGCATTTGTGTAACACCACAGGAGGATTTCCTCCCCAAAAGCATATTGCTTTTCACCGATTCTGAAAGACATCTGAGTGTCTCACAGCCCAGAACATGGGGTTCTGACAGTAAGCTCAAATGAATCTAGCGCTAGTGAGATCTGTGTTGCATCTTCAACCTTCCTTAATGAACTGCAACCACCAGTGTACTTTCTGAGGATGTGACACAAATGCATTTGCCTGCTTTCAGATTCCAAGCCCACATAGCTAAAAAGAATGAAAACAATCACATGGATATAGTTTTTTCCCCCTATCAAATCAATACAAACATCCATAATGAAAATGTCCTCACTCTAGCTCCACGTTCCCTAGCTTGAACTGCACAATATTTTTAATAAACATGGTAAACGCACAATATCTGCTAAAGCAGTTAACTTGAATATCCAACGAGACAAAAGTACATCAAACATGGAAAACAAAAACAGAAGTACTTAAAAAAAAAGGTGTTTCTCTCCAGTGCTACTAGATATCTATCATGGTGATTTATGACACAAATAAGAAAGAAAGCTTTAAATTTAGAGGAAAAGTTTTAGTTCCATACTCATTCATCTATATGACATTTATTAAGATAAAGATTGTGTCAGTCCCATCAAATTCAGGTTAGACTAACGTGGTTTGTGAAATTAAGGGCAAGTAACGTCAATAGACAATTTACATATTTTATTCAAAAGCATTTGGCTACATGTTGAGACCACAAGGAATATTACCTTGTGTATTTCTGAAATAGGTACTTTGAAATTTTTGTCCCATTCCATTATTCCTCTGAGTTTGTTTTTCTCTCCTTCCAGAAAATGTCCCTGAACTGCAGGAAAACACCTTTATGTAAACAACTGCATAGAGTACTATATGTAAATTTGGGGCAAGCTTGGAAATGATCAGCAGTTCTGCTGCAATAAAAAGGATCAAGGCATTGAGGGTAGGTCATATTCTGCATATACAGGACCAAATTTATGTAGAATTTCCCTTTATGAACACGTCAGATGTTCCTACTTCTCATAAAAAGTATAATGCTAGACCACTGCAATGTCGTCAAAAAACTATTAAGCTTTTTTATTGTCATTTCCATTTAGAAGTTTAGATTCACCCCGGACAGATCAAGCAATACTAAGAGGACTGCTGGCCATGTTAGGCAGAATATGACAACATACAAGCTTTTAATTACTACATTAAACTGGAACTACTGTTTCATATTCAGTGCTATTGCCACCACTTTCACAATGCTTTAAAATTATTTAGTTTTAGCTTCTACCACAACTCAGCAAAAAGCATTTTCCAAACCACAAAATACTTAAGTCTGAGAGGCTGAAAGAAGACAGAGGAGGAATTCACCTCCAAAAGTGGCTCCACCTGTAAGAACAGAAGTGGCACCATGTGTTTGTCAAATTTTAACAATTAAGCAAGGAAAATATGGTGTATAAAAATAAACGATACACTTACATTTCCAACCCATCTTAGAAAGTTAATAACTGTGGAAAGGATTAAATATTTAAGATGCTCCCACTCCAAAAGAACAGTTAATGATGCCATGTGTTAGATGAGTAGCCAGCTACCTCCCAACTACTCTAGTTCTCACTAGATTCTACTAATAATAAAGAGCACACCCTTTATTAGGTGAGTTACCAAGCATGCTGCAAAGGGTGATCCATACAGAAATGCTGTCATACAAATACACTGAAGTTTCAGGGCAAGAAAAATTAGAAGATGGACATAGGAAGCTTGTTACAGCAAATTCCATCTATTTGTAGAATTAATATGTAGTAATAATTTTTTTAAACCAAACTGCTGTGACAATATTTCTTCATTATCAACCACCAAGTCCTTGGGTAGCTGGTAAAAACTGAGTTCTGAACTTTAAAGCAGCTTCGTAAATATCCAGGTTTGGGTCACCCAAAAATGTCGAATCCTAGGCACATACAGACTTGTAACTTAAAAATATTTCAGCAATGACACATTTAAATACTTACCATTTAGATTCCCACTGGTAGACACTGCACTGCTTTGTTTTTGGTTATCATAAGCAGGACCAATGTTACTGAGATCCTGGAAGGAAAAATATCCTACTAAAAAAGAACGCTACATAAACCAATTAATCTGATTAATTTGGCAACTGCTCAAAAAATAGAGAAATTATAATAGCACAGGAAATGAAAATAATAATCCTAAAGAGTATGAAACTTGCAGGAGTCCCCAATTTGAATGCTTCAGGAATCCAGCTAGTGGGATGTGTGCAGCAAGCCAGGTGTAAGGGTCACAGTGATTTAATAATGGCAATTAACTGAGTTAGAGGAGGTAGAGCTGCATGGCAAACTAGAGTGCCTGAACCCCACTCCCTAGGGGAATTCTGACCCAGTGTTGTCACATAGTCCCATTTGTCTTTGGGTTATTTATTTATTTATTTGTTCATTTTTGCAGTGCTGGGGATTTGAACCCATAACCTTGTGCATGCTAAGTAACCATTCCACCACCAAGGTATGTCCCCAGCCCTTAGTTTGTTTGAGATAGGGTCTCACTATGTAACCCAGGCTGGCAATCCTACCTCTGCCTTCCAAGTGCTGGAATTATAGGTGTGGGTCACCATTCCCAGCTTATAAGAGACAGAAATTTGAATTTCTGCATGAAATCTCAAACTTCCTTGGTTTCCTCCCTCCTGCTCCTATTTTTTTCTTTTAAGCCAGGACCTCACACATGCTAGGCAAGTGCTCTAACACTGAGCTAAATCCCTATCCTCTCAAAATTTCAAATTTCAAAGACAGGAAACCAGCCTGTACTCCTAGCTACTTGGGAGGCTGGGGCAGGAGATCACTGGAGCCCAGGCAAGGTCAGCCTGGGAAACATTTCAAGGTCTTGTCTCAAAAAAAAGGTAGCAGATCAAACATTTTAAGGCAAACCTGAAAGATTTGATCTTCTTAGTTGCCAAGTGTGACCTCTGCAATTGAACAAACAGTAGAAATTTTCCTCTTCCTGTTATGCTAGATAAGCAACACAAATTCTTCTCCATAACAATTTTTCTTCCCAACTAAGAATGTTTTTAAGAGCAAAATTTGAGATAACAACAAGATTAGGAATAACTTGGAACAAACTAGAAGATTTACAAATCCATAACACTCTAAGTGGGTAAGTCAGAGTACGAAAACTGGTTCCTGGTTCAAGGTGAGTGTTCTTTCCACCTGTATCAATCACCTTTTATTTGCAGCCCATGGGCATATAATGGCAGTGTGTTATGTGGCAACTATACAGATATAAACAAAATCTGATTCTCAAGTGACTTCAAACAAAAGACAACGTGAAACAAATTAATGTACCTGATCCAAAAGTCCAAATTTGGGGTAATCTTCTTCTGGGTCTTTACTCCCTGGATCAGGGTGTTCCTTTACCAAGAACACATCTCTCTCTTTACTCTAAAAGGAAACAGCATCTTAATTAGCATTAATGAAAATTTTATACATAGAAATACAGAACAGGTGGTCAATCACTAATTTCAAAAGTCATTCTTGTAATCTCCAAGAATATAGTATTGTTTTCCCATCATTAAAAAATTGATACATGACCACCAAAAACTTCAAACAAAAGAGAAACTTAAAGAGAGCCAGTTCTTCAAATTCCTCACCTATTCTTCTGCCCTGCAGAAACAAGCACTACTAATAGCTTACTGTTGACTTCTCCCAGGTTATCTCTTTAGTTAATTCTAAGCTCAAGTTTAAAAGGGGTTTGAGGGTTTTTCCCCCCAAAGAAAAAAAGTTTCCAATTTCCAGGTGCCAACTGGCACATGCATGTAATACTAGCTACTAGGGAGTCTCAGATTGGGATGATCAAAGTCTCACGCTAGTCAGGACAAAGAGTTCGCAAGACTCCATCTCCAAAATAACCAGAGCAAAATGGACTGGAGGTGTGGCTCAAGTGGCAGAGTGCCTCCTTTGCAAGCATGAAGCCCTGAGTTCAAACACTCAGCCCTACCAAAAAAAACCCAATAAAACAAAAAAAAACTTGCAAATGAGCAGTGGAAAAGTATTTCTACTGTAAGTGAGAATGATGTTCACTTAAGACACAATATGCAACTCACTGAATTTGTGTTCAAAAACTATTTTTTTGGGGGGTGGACAGTTCTAGAGTTTAAAATCAGGGCCTGAGGTTTGCTAGGCAGGCAGTCTACCCCTTAAGCCACTGCACCAGCCCTATTTTTTGTGTTGGGTATTTTTAAGATAGAGTTTTGAGAACTATTTGCCCAACTTGCTTCAAGCCATGACCCTCCTGATCTCTGCTTCCTAAGTAGCTAGGATTACAGGCATAAGCCATCAGTGCCCTGCTGGAAAATATTACAATTTATAATTACCTGTATCTCATACTCTCAAAGATTTACTGTTAAGTTGTTCATTTTCTTAGTCATCACATTATTTCACAATGACACAAAATAAAATTTAGTTGTTAAAAAGAATAATGGTTTTCTAAATGCCAAGTCTGATCAATTTTAGTCTACTTACCATTGTTTTGACAATGTTATTTGGCCATGTCATTTTCCCAGGTCTCTGTCTGGTTGTCATGCACTCCCAATATTTATCAATAAATGGTATAATATCCTAATTTTTAAAATAAAATACATTAAGACTTATAATTGCATTCAAAGTTACGCTCATAAAACAGTAACATTTTCAAAGACCTTATTAGAATCGAATCAAAAACTCTTTAGCTTTTTAATCACTAAAAAAAATTTAATTTCTTGTAAAGTATATTGATTATGGGGCCTTCAAACAAATATATATAAAATTTAGCTACTTAGGGCTTATAATCCAATTGGAGAGAAAAAGTGTCCCATTCCCTTGCTTGTCAACTAGAAGATGACTCCCAAATCATCTACCATAAGCTAGATATCTTTAAGTCATCCTTGACTCTTCTCACAAAATTTACATCTATAGTCACCAAATGCACTGTAAAGTTTCAGAAACTTCACATAAATCAGGCTTCTTACCATCCCCGTTACTTTGACTGTAGCCCTTACCAGCTCTCATTTATATGACTGAAACAAGGTCTGACCTTGATCTTCTGGCATCAAATCACTTCAATTTTACATTATCTTCCAAAGTCTGCTACCACCAGAGTTAGCTTCACGAAAACTAAATCTTTACCAAAGGAACAGGGTTTGATCTGGGAAGTATAAGGGAAACCTGGAACAATTTGTTATTCCAGAAAGTAAGAAAGAATTCAGTAAGTGACGGGGAAGCCAGACATGATGATACATATAGATATAAACAATCCCAGTACACTAGAAGTTGAGGCAGGAGGATCTAGAGTTCCAGGGCAGCCTACCTATATAATGAGACCCTATCTTAAACAAAACAAAACAACTTTCTGGGGACATATCAGAAAGTTTCAGCTGCCAGGCACCAGTGGCTCAGTCCTACAATCCCAGATACTCAGGAGCAGAGATCTGGAGGATTACAGTTTGAAGCTGGCCCGGGCAAATAGTTTAAGACCCTATCTCAAAAATACCCAACACAAAAAAGGGCTGGTGGAGTAGCACACATAGTAGAGTGCCTGCCTAGCAAGCATGAGGCCCTGAGTTCAAATCCCAGTATTGCCCCCCATCCCCCGCAAAAGTTTCAGCTGTCAAGGTCATAAGGCTACATTAGTCAAACCTCAGACAATGTGCCAGAAATCCAATTATGGACTACAATGCAATCATGTATTACTGCTTTTAGGACCAAGATGAGATTAAATTAAACACAAGAGAGAATGATGAAGCCAAGAGACAAGGTAAGCATGAGACATAAAAACATGCTATAACACAAAAATTTTTTCTTAGAAGACTATATTCTAAAATAACAATAAGGGCTGGGGAGTGGCTCAAGTGGTAGAGCACCTGCCTAGCAAGCACAAGGCTCTGAGTTCAAACTTCAGTACTGCAAAAAAAAAAAAAGGAAGAAAAGAAGAAACTAAAACAGAGTATAGTTTAAGCCAGGAGAGGTAGTGCACACTTGTAATCCCACCACTTAGAAGATGTGGCAGAAGGATGGAGAGTTCTGAGGCCAGCTGGACTACATAGTGAGACCTTGTCTCAAAAAAGAAAAACAAAAAAATATATATGACATACTATGTATAGTAATGGATAGTGTATACACAAGTCTGTTATTTATTATCAAGTAATTCGTTGTCAAGTATTAGTTATGTGTAGTATTAGATACTACACATAACTGGCAGTGCAGTAGGTTTGTTTACACCAGCCACCACCACAAACTTGAGATAATACGATGTCAGTGGTGGCAACACCATCACTACGCAATAGGAATTTTTCAGCTCCATTTTAATGTTATGGGACCACTGTACTATATGCAATCTACTGATCAAAACATTATTAGCAATGCTTGACTGAACATCAATTTTTTTGAAAATCCATGAATCCACAGCATTATTTTTTAAGAGGATAAAAGAAAACTCTTGTTTGTAGAACAGCTACAACCAATAAATGTATTGTTTTATATCCATCACTCTATTAACTGATTTAGAGTGGGATATGCAATGGTGGCTAAAACCACTGGGTGAAAGGATATCAATACATACACACAATCACAGTGTATCACCCCATAGATTATTAAAGGGTCACAAAGAAAAACAGTTTCCTTTAAGTGGAGGATGGCAATATAATGGAAGGGATAAACTTGTTCAAAGTACATTGTACGGATGTATGGAATTATAATGAAATCCCCCCCATATTACTGTATATATGCTAATTTGAAAATTAAATTACACTAAAAAGAGGCTCCTTTAATTCCTTTAAACAGTGGAATAATCGGCACACCCACCCCTTGCCAAGTACTCAAATTTAAGATCACCAGTGACAGAACAAACTACTACCTCACACTTCCTTACATGATACATCAAAAAACACACATTACCTATGTAACATTCTTGCCAAGAATGTTTAGCTTAAACCTAATCATAAGGAAACTCAGATAAATGCAAAGTGAGGAATATCATGCCAAACAGTTGTCCAAGCATGTGGAAATTTTAAATGCCACAGCAGATACCACCCCCCCTCCACAGCAAAAAGTAAAATAAAGGAACTATTCTCAATAAAAAAAATATTACAACTAAATGTATGGTGTGATCCTAATCAGATCCTGGATACAGGGTATAAGATAATAATAGCATTGAGAAAATATGAATATATATACTGCATCAGCATTAAAATTTTTTATTATAAGAACAATATCATGGCTGTATGTCAGAATACTGGTAAAGTAGAATATCTACAAATTAGTCTCATATAGCTTAGATGAAAAATATAGATATGGGGAGGTAAAGCAAATGTGATAAAACATTGACATATGGTGAATTTAGGTTAAAAAAATGGATGTTTATTATACTAGCTGAATTTCTCTGTAAGTCTGAAAAATTTCAAAATAACTTGGGAAAAAAAAAGAGGAAAAAAACCCCAAACTTAACCACAATACTCCATTATTTAAAGCACTTTTAACATTAAAAAAGGAGAGGAACCATCTAGTGACTGCTCCAACTTACAAGAGTAAGTACAAACTTCTGTTTGGCAAACAAGGCTCCTACCAGTTTGATCCAGACAATATGGATCTTATGTTATACCCTAGACAAGTATTTTTCAAACTGTAGGTCGTAATAAATTTGAAGATTATAAAATCAATTTTGTAGATCAAGGGTACAAGATTGACTAGAACAAAAAATACCAGAGTGACGAATGAAAAGATCAGAGGGTAAGTTTTTATAAAACTTCTGTTTCAGCTTTAAATGAAAGTAGATTGGTATGAATGTACATAAGGTCACAATGGAAACTCCAGTTTTAAAAATGTACTTATTTTTAACATGGCACACCATGAATCATGGTGGGAAAGACTCTTGGATGGGCTAATCATTTAGTTTTGAATCCTAACTTTAGTCATGTGTTTTAATAATAAGAGATATTCTTTTATTTTTTTGAGACAGGGCTATATAGCCCAGGCTGGCCTATAATTCTCCATCCTCCCAAGTGCTAAGGTTTTAGGTATGCACCACTACACCCAGCTTTAAAGGATAATTCTTTTTGACCCTCTTTGACAAATCTGTGATGAGGCATCCATAAAAAGTGGCAAAACTAGACTGAGGTGGTTTGCCTCAGCCCTGATTATAATAGGATAAACAATTTTTTGCTTCTATAATCCAACCAAAACCAGTTAAGGATTCATAATACTAATAGCTAAGCCACATGACATATACTAGGAAATTAGTCAATCATATGAAATAAAAACAAGATATCCATTAAATCTTAAGTCTTTTATTCATAAAAATGGGGAGAAAGTACTTTTTTTTGGTTTGTTTTATTTTTTGTTTTCAGTACGGGGGCTTGAATTCAGGGCCTACACCTTGAGCCACTCCATCAGCCCTTTTTTTGTGATGGGTTTTTTTTTGAAATAGGGTGAATGTACTTGTTAAAGAGTATTTTTTATAAGCTCCACCTCATTCTTTAAAATAATTGCAGTTACATTAATTTCATACCTACCTTATCTTTAGAGAACATGGTTTTCGGATGTTCATCCTGTGTTCGGGACTGCCAAGTTAGGTTGGCCAAAGCACTAAGGCACATTTCCTTTAAGTCTACCAAAAACAAAAATGAAAAAAAAAATTTGTAATACATTTTTATCAACAAGAGGACACTCAACAACATGTCCACAGAATGACTAGAACAGCCAAAAGTGGAGCCATGATTTGATCTGACACCAGCAACCACAATTATCCTAAGCTAAACTTCAACTTAACTTCTACCAGAGACAAGGCAAAGGTATCGAGTCCACTAGGCCCAAATCCCTTTTCTTTTTAAGTGAACAATCATTTCAAAATACTCCAGAGTTGTTCTTACTTGCTTGCTTCCGGAGGAAATAAGTGTTCCCACTATGATGGCATACATTGCAATGGAAACTGTAGTTGGTCATGAAAGGTAGACAGGATCTGTGGATCAGCCAAATGATACAAATTAGCGAACTACTGAATACATACTTCATTTTTTTTTTTTTTTTTGAGACAGTGTCCCTTTCTCTCTAGACAGCCAGGCTGGCCTCAAACTTGTGGTCATTCAGCCTCAACCTCCTGAGTGCTATGGATTACAGGTGTGAATCACCACACCCAGCTCAATACATACGTCTTTTTTTTTTTTTTGTAGTACTGGGGCTTGAACTCAGGGTCTTCACCTTGAGCCACTCTACCAGCCCTATTCTTGTGAAGGGTTTTCAAGATAGGGTCTCTCGGAACTATTTGCTTGGGCTGGCTTCGAACCGAGATCCTCCTGATCTCTGCCTCTTGAGTAGCTAGGATTACAGGCATGAGCCACCAGCATCCAGCAAGACATACTTCTTTATGAGACACAAATCAACAGTAACACTTTCTCCTCGGTGAAAGTTAGATTAAAATGTCAATATGTTGCCAGGCGTCTGTGGCTGACACCTGTAACCCAAGTAGCTATTTGGGGGGCACAGACAAGAAGGATCATAGTTCAAAGCCAGCCTGGGGATACAATTCTTGAGACATAATCTTGAAAATACAAAATAGGGCTGGTGGAGTGCTTCAAGTGGTACAGCACCTGCCTAGCAAGCCTCAGATCCTGAGCTCAAACTCCAGATACGTTAACATACACTTAAAAGGTCATCAATACCAAAGGTTGTTTTTGGTTTTTTTTTTTTGCAAGTGTCTGGATTTTTCTGTCAGACAAAAATTAATAAGCATGTTTCACCATAGTGGAAATTCTCACTGGCACCTTGTCCAGGTTAGTTTCTCTTTCTCTCTCTCTCTCATACTAGAAGATGAACTCAGGGCCTCAGGCTTACTAGGCAGGTACTCTACCACTTGAGCCACTCCATCAGCCTTTTTTGCATTGGTTATTTTTGAGACAGGGTCTCACTTTATGCCCAAAATAGCCTAGACTGAGATCCTCCTATTTGTGCTTCCCTGTATAGCAGGGAAGACAGTTGTGCACCACTGGTTGAGACAGGGGGGTCACTTGAACATTCTGCCCAGTTGGCCTCAAACAGAGATCATCTTTATCTCCTAGTACTTACTTGAGTATAGAATTACAGATATAAGCCATCAAATCTGGCTCTAGTTTATATCTTTTTTTTTTTTTTAGCACCTGAAGACTAGGCCATCAGCACAAGAAGACAATGTAGTCTAAGACATATCTCTTTAAAGTGTCAATATCATTGCAAAGAACAATGTATGACAAGATGAATTTAAAAATGTAAATTATAGAAGACAACACAGAGTCACAAAACATTACTTGCCTCATTACCAAGTAAGTCCTACAGATGATATTTAGTCTATAGGAGTTCAAAGGACTCTGGTAGTAACCTCAAATTTAGGAGTTACAGAATATTTGTCAAGGACAAGTTAAGAGCTGAATTTGGAAAGCTGAATGGGTTTCCTAAACAGGCAATGAGATGGTGAAAGATGATAAGAAATGAGAGATGAAGAAATGATGAGAGATGAGAAAATGAAAGCTAGCATAAACAAGTCTGTCTAGGACAAAGAATTTGTCAGGGATATGAGAAAACATAAGGTGTGATGGGACACACCTCTAGTCTCAGCTACTTGATCACTTGAACCCAGAAATTCACACAAACTCAAAACCAACCTAAGCAACATAGCCAGACTCATCTCAAGTAAATAAACAAACAAACAGGGCTTGAAAAGTTTGAAGCCCAAGGTCTTATATGCCAGGCAGAATTAGATTTTTTTCTATGGGTAATGGGAACTCCTTTAAAGGGAAGTGACATGGTTAAAGTGATAAGATGGGCCTGAAAGGGGAAGAGATTAGGAAAAAAAAAAAGAATCATAGAGGCTTTTATAATAGTCCTAGCAGAAGATAAAAGGCCCAGACTGCAGAAAAGTTAGTAAAGATGGAAAACATTTTATTTTGATAAAGCTTGGCAACCAATTAGATGGACAGTGATCAGGAAGTGAAAGAAATTCTATCCATTAATACTGGTTCTATATTCATAAAGAAAAAAAAAAGCTCGATTTGATTCTTCCATGGATGGCTCCTAGTTATCGCGCTAATAAATTTCCAACACTAGCTCTGTCTATTCAAATTCTTCCTGGCCAAAATGCCCCAGTGTGTTTCCCATACAGGTTTTTTTTTTTCAAACATTCTATTCTAGGTCACCAGTCAGTCATATGTTAATTGGTATATTAACATTTCTAAAACTACTTGAATTTTTTTTAACTGTTAAGCACACAACAAATTATAAAGGAAGGCATTTCTTTACAACTCCATTTAAAGGGGATTAATTTCAAAATAATGCAGCCTTAATAGTCTTAAAATTTGTTAGCATAATATGGAACAAACAACGTTACAAACAGCCAGGAGCACAATTATTCCCACAGACAATAAGTCAGTAATGCTCACCTGCTTGCTGTTGACCAAATGCCCTGAATAAGAAGAAACCTTTCATTCCCAACCATAATATGACTTTAATTTACTAGAAGTGCACGTTTAGAAAGAGGCCTTACTGAGGAGAGAGCACAGGACATCTAAAGGAACAAGTGAGACGCAACAAAAAGGGGGTAAAAAGGCAGGCTCAAGCATGAAGAGCACTGATCAACTTTTTTTTTTTTTTTTATTTAAAATTTTTATTTGTGGTGTTGGAGATCAAACCCAAGGCCTTGACTGTGAATGCTCTACCACTAAACACTCAAGTTTTTGACAAGTTTTGTCCACCACATGCACAAAATTGTTTCTGAAAAATACAAACATCCAATACAAGGCATAAATGATACGGTCTCAAATTTCTTTTCTAGTTGTATAGTTTTACTTCCCAATCAGATTGTATGCTCAAAAACAAGGGAAAAAACCCATCATTGTATCTATTAGGGCTGTGCCCTTAGTTAGTAGAAAACATGCTAAGAGAATTAAAGCAATTCCTTATTTAACATCCTATTCACTGAATAAGCATTAGAAGACAGAAATATTATGCATTTATCTTGTCTACAAATTACTCAACTGTTGAGCAAGTTGAGATTTACTTAAGTAATTCTTACAAGCCTAGGAAATGTACTCACGAGGTATCTATGCCAAAGGTGTCAGCTGTGAACCATTTTGTACATATTCCACATTGCAATTCTACCTCTCCCAACTGCCGGCTATTCTCTTCATCCACGGAGCCAGCCTGAGTATCCATTGCCTCTGAAGTATCTCCAGCACCTTCCTGTAATCACAGAAAATAAAATGACTTAACTGTTTGTTTTTTTTTTTTTTTTTTTGGTGGAACTGGGGTGTGAACTCAGGGCCTTATGCTTGCTAGGCAGGCACTCTTATCACTTGAGCCACTCCACCAGCCCGACTTGATTGTATTTTTGATTCCCTTAAATTTTTAAAAATATTTGCCTTGTAAACATCCAAAAAGAAACACTTACTAGAGTATCTTTTCCATTAGAAGATTCTGTTTCCAGACCACCACTTACATCAACCAAGTTTGCATCCCTGTAACAAAAGCACTCAAGTAAGAAACAGCAAGAGAAACTAACCTCAGAACACCTGTTCTCAAAGATGATGATAGAAATACAGCTGAAGTTCGCACTCGTACAGCTTTTTCAGCTAAGACGATTCTGGAGTCCAGAATACCCAGGATATTAGGAGGAATGTGGTCAAGACCGACACGGGCCCATGCAACACAGGGAAGTTAATTCGGCCCTTACTGACAAGTCTACGTGTTGGAGTTGGTCCTTAGAGAGATGCAGCTCTCCCGTTCTGTTCTAAGGACTGTTGCTTCGTCCAGTGCGGCACTGTAAAGTGTTTTCTTTCCTGGGATGTTCGAGGAGCTGTTGCTACAGAAGTGAGCTACCTGCCTCCTACGCGGTGCAAGGGCCAGAGCGCAGACCTGAAGCCTGGCGCTCACGCCCGGAGGTGAGAGGTGCGGCAAGAGGCGCGACCTGAGACATTTCAGAGGGGCTGGTCTGGCGGTGGGGGCGGGGCCATGGCGCGGAGGGGGCGGGGCTATGGCGCGGGGCTATGGCGCGGAGGGGGCAGGGCGAGCCGAGCCGTTGGCGGCCGGGCTTGGGTTCCGAGAGGGCGGGCAGGAAAGCTGCCGGAGCCGCGGGATTCCAAGATGGGCGGGCCTCCCTCGTCTGGTCCTCCTCTGGCCCCCAGATGTCTTACCCGCTCTCAGCCTCTCCAGAACTGGGCTCAGCTGCAGGAGCAGCGGATGGCCCCTCTCCAGCCGGAGCGACGGCGGCGGCGACTGCCACCGGCTTCGTCTCTCCCTCTTCTGTCGTTGTTGCATTTGCAGCCGCTCCCGGGCCAGGTCCGGCACCCGCTCCCGGGCCGGGGCCGGTTCCCGCCGCCGCCATCATTGCCGCCGCCCAGGCTTCTCGCGAGAGTAGTAGCTCTGTCTCGTGCGAGTTGCTTCCTGGAACCATACTCTTCAAGTGGTAACGATTCCTGGTGGGCCCTCCACTTGCCTGAGAAATACTCACTGCAGGCCAGGCCCGCTTTAAAGCCAGGCGGTCGGGGCCGGGGCGCCAGAGATAGTCACTGGCTGCGCTAGGGGAAAGCCAGGAAGGCTTGTCTAGACTGGAAATCGCCGCTCAGATGAGACGACTTGAGAGCGCTGACTGTGCTGTGCACACATTGCTCGCCACTAAATATGGAAAATTTTTCAGAAAGACGAGTTCTCACCGCTCCGCCCATGGTGCGATCGGTTGCTTTGAGCTCGTTTCCACAAGGCGGTTAGAAACGAGAGCCCAAGCGAGGATGCCAGGGTGGAGGGAATGTGGGTGAGCATCCAGACCGAGGCGGCCAAATGCACGCTCTTGAAGCCGCCGACGGCTTATGAGCAAGGAGCGAAATAGAGCCCGATGTCGGAGGACTTAGCTTAGAGAGGTAGACTGAAAGATTTTGAGCAGCCATTGTCAGGAGCTGGTAGTCGACATCACTCCAGTGAATGGGAATATTGGGAGCCGAGGTCTCCCAAACTCGAGGGTGCGACCTCAAGGAATTTATTCGGGCCAAGGCCGTTTCGGGAAATCAACGTTTAAATTGATCCTATTTTCTAAATGCTTACCGAAGGATATACTTGCCCTCTCACTTTACAAAAGAAAGGTGTACGTACCTCTCGGCAGTCCTCAATCAAATTTTACTATGATCAGTTTTCCCATGTTGTAGGAACCTCTAGGGCAGCTGACTGAACAATTGGAAAATAAGTAGATATTTTGATTTCTCAATTGGTTCTCGATTATTTGTTTTCAGCAAAATTACAGAAGGACCTAATAGAATTACTATTCTATTAGATTCTATTAGATTATTTTAAAGGTTGTTTTGATAAACCTTAAAATTAGTGGGTGATGTTTTAAGGAGTAACAACATACTTGCTCAACAACCCCCCAATATTGATTATTATAGCAGTTTTAGCAAGTCTAAAAATTCTTTTTTTTTAATTATGACGTACTGTTTGTACTTCATGACATACATTATAATAATTCAATACATACATAGAATGTGTAATAATCAAATCAGGGTAGTAAGCCCTTCCATCTCTTCAAACTTTTATCTTTTTGTTTTTTGAGATGGTCTTGTCTGTAGCCCAGGCTGGCCTCAAACTTGCAATCTAAAATACTGGGATTATAGGCATGTACACTATGTCAGGCTTAAACTTCAATCATTTTTATGTGCTGGGAATTTTGTACTCTTCATTTTGAAATAGATCATAGACTGTTTTATCCTGTTGAAAGCCAAAACTAATGTCTCCTCTTTGTGTTCTGGTGCCCTTTATCTGACACCTTTCCATTCTTCCCTCCACCCTTTCCAGTTTCTAGTGACCACTGTTTTCCTTTGTTCTTCCATGAAATTGTTTAGTTTCCACAAGTGAGTGAGAACATGTGGTATTTGTCTTTGTGCCTGGTTTATTTCACTTAACATGTTGCTGCAAATGACAAAATTTCATTCTTTTTAATGGCTGAATAATATTCTAGTGTGTGTGTATCACATTTTCCTTACATATTCATTGTTGATGGACATCTTGGTTAATTCCGTACCTTAGCTATTGTGACCAGTGCTGCAATAAACATGGTAATGCAAGTGTCTCTTTGGTATAATGACTTCATATCCTTTGGATATATTGTTAGTGGTGGGGTTGCTGAATCATACAGTAGTAGTTCTTTCAGTTTTTTAGTTTTATTTTTGTGGTGCTGGGGCCACAAAAATAAGTTCAAGGGCCTTGAACTTAGCCAGCAGGCACTCTACCATTGAGCTACATCCCTAGCCGCTATTTTTAGCTTTTTAAGGAATCTTGGTACTGTTTCCCATAGTGGCTGTACTAACTTACATTCCCTTCAACAGTGTGTAAGCGTTTTCCTTTCTGGTTGGATGCATGGCTCAAGTGGTAGAGCATCTGCCTAGCAAGCACAAAGCCCTGAGTTCAAACCCCAGTATCATACATACACACACACACAGAGTTCCCCTTTCTTATATCCTCACTGGCATTTGCTGGTTTTTGTTTTTTTGATTATAGCCCTAACTGGAATGAGATAATATATCATCGTGGTTTTGCTTTGCATTTCCCCTATGATTAGTGATACAGAGCATTTTTCGTAAACATCTTGACTATTTGTATGTCTTAAGAAGTATCTTCAGATCTTTAGCTTATTTTTGAATGAGATTATTTGGTTTTGGGTGTTCATCCTTTGTCAGATGAATAGTTTGCAATTATTTTCTCCTATTCTGTAGGCTGTCTTTTCACTGTTGATTGTTTCATTTACTGTACAGAAGCTTCTTAGTTTGACAGAGTTTCATTTTTCTATTTTTACTTTTTTTTGCCTGTGCCTTTGAGGTCCTGTACAAAAAAAGGTCACTGAGCATAGCTACAGACTCTGATCCTCCTTCCTCCTCTTGATCATATGGGCTGGACTTACTGTCTTTCTTCCAAACAATAGAATGTTAGAGTGGAGTGGCTCAAGTAGTAGAGTGCCTGACTAGCAAGTATGAGGCCTTGAGTTCAAACCCCAATACTGCCAAAAAAAAATGTGAGAGAGGAAAAGAGTAATGGGTGCATGTGTGGTGCTGGGAATGGGACTCAAGGCCTCCCGTGGCCTACCACTGAACTATAGCACCCATCCCCCACTGCAATAGTAATTTTTTTATAGTGTAGAAACTGGCAGGCAGACATCACCTTAACCAAGAGATCAAAGCTAACATTACCAATAATGAGTCATGTTGATACCATGATGTGATAAGGCTACCTCACCCCTGTGGTAGTCTTCCCCCAAATCCATAACACCAGTCTAGTCAAGAGAAAGCATCACTGAATCCAAATGAACAGACATTCCAGAAAATATGTGACCAGTAAGTACTCTTTAAAACTGTCAAGATCCTTAGCCAGGCATGGTGGCACATACCTATAATTCTAGCACTCAGGAGGCAGGCAGGAAGATTGCAAGTTCAAAGCTAGGTGGGCTACATTGTTTCAAGACAACCTAGGTTACCTGTCCAGATCATGTCTCAAAACAAAACAAACAAACCCAAATCAAAACAACCTGTCAAGTTGTTTTCAGAACAACTTGAAAGACAAGGAAAAACTAAAAAAAATGATAGATTGGAGGAGACAAGGAGGTATACCACTTTAATGTGGTATCCTGGAATGGGTCTTAGGACAAAAACTGGCCAATCATTAACATTCTGTAATTACATTAATATTATACCAATGTTAGCTTGTGAGGCAGGAAGATCATGAGTTGAGGCCAGCCTGGGCTACACAGACCCTGTCTCAAAAGAATAAAGTTTTTAAAAAAAATTAAAGCTTTATACATAAATGGATGGAGCTTCCCAAAGTGATTTCCCCAGGACAATTGTTGAAGTAAAGTAACCTATTTGTGCTGGGTACAGTGGCCTGCAATCCTAGCTACCTGGGAAGCTGAGATCAGGAGGATCATGGTTTGAGGCCAGCCCAGGCAACTAGTTCACAAGACTCCCATCTCCAAAATAAGCAGAGCAAAATGAGCTGGAAGTATGCTTAAGGTAGTAGAGCACCTGCTTTGCAAACGCAAAGCTCTGTGTTCAAACTCAAGTCCCATAAATAAGTAAATAAAAATAACCTACTTGTATCACCTCTTGAGCAGGAAAAAGCTGTAAAGACCCCTAAGAACTGAGGGTTTTCTCTCATTTACAGAGACATATGTGAGCTGGGTTCTTTTTTTTTTTTTTTAACTTCTTTTATTCATATGTGCATACAATGCTTGGGTCATTTCTCCCCCCTTATGAGCTGGGTTCTAATTGCTGATTGAGTCCTTAGCGCTCCAGAAACTTACCCAAGCTGTGTTGATTTATATATCTTGTAGCCCCTTCTTGTAGGAACAGAAGGCCTATTCCTGGAGTATTTGGGATGAATCTCTTACCCCCCACACAAAAGCTTGCCCAGGAGATGGAAAGGGATGGGCTGGTCCTTGACTACATAGCACACCTGTATAAACCAGGACTTAGCCTTGCAGAAGTTCCTGTGCATTGGTTTGGACAGACAAGACAGAATTAAAACTGGAGTTTTGGACCCAAGACCCAATCTCCTGAGATTCCATGTGCCAGATTCAGCCACTCACACCTAAATGCCAAAGAAAAAGGTTTGGGATATGCTTTGGGAAGAGGCAGAGTAAGCACTCAGCCCATTTTCAGCCATCTTCAGGGTATAGACATGAATTATAGGTTTAAGTAGACAAAAGAATTGGGGACAAAAGGTATGCATAGCTAAACAGTTCAGTCACAGGTGTGGTCTGGTTGAGCATTATCTCAGTCTGAGGGTTGTGAGAAGGGTACACTGAAAAAGATGTTATCACTGTCATCACCTGAGGGGAGCAATCTGGTTCCCATGAGATGATTACTCCTGCTTCAGGGTACAGCCTTGTCATTATAGGTAATGGTCCTCATTTGGAGGGGTGGTCTGTCCTGCAAGTCTCTGCTGTTCCTTAAAGTTTCAATTCCTTGTCATAAAGATGTTATCAGTTTTGTCCTTTCTGGAATCCAAGGTGATTGCAAAGGGAATGGCTTAGAGCAAAGACAGATACAAAGTGGAGGCAGGGATGCCAAGCTTCTCCTGTTTTTAGTTCATTTGTGGACCTGAGTAAGAAGTCCATGCTTTTCAGCAAAAGTAGCGTGAGCATCTCTTACAGAATCACTCCCATGTCCCCTAACTCAGCCCAAAAGTAGCAAAGGGAGTTGCTAGACCAGAGTAGCCAAGTCTTCAATGACCATAATCCCACATGGGTCTATAACAATACACAGAACAGCTGATGTAAGGCTGCCCAGGACCAAAGGGAAGGCTCAAGTGGATAGAAAGCATCAGGCACCAGCTGCCCCTCTCCTAACC